CGTTGACAGATGCAGTCATGCATGTGCTGCACGGAAATCTCGTGCCAGTCTCTCGCTACATCCGCTGCACTAATGAGTGTTTTGATTTGACACATTCAGTCTTTGCTTTTCATCCCATGGTCAGTTGAAAAACATTTCTAAAGATTATGATTTCCATATGGTGCTATGGATTAAGAAAAAAATATAACTGAGACTGACGGATTCCTTGAGATATTTTTCCGGAATCATTCCTGTAAAGTTTTTCCTGACCCTCCCATAATTATTATGATTCTATATATAGCTCTATAAAATCATTCACAATTCTTTGTCGATTACCCATTTTTACAGTTTTACGGAGAAGGGTAGAAAATTTAAAATTGGCTTCAAAATGATGGTCGTTGCAACTTTCCGGCCCTTTCCGCCAAATTCGTAAAAGTATTATATGAAATCGGCAAGGTGTTCGGAGTGATACCTTCGTTTTCATTATAACTTCCGTTTCAATGCTATTAAGATCTTGCCATTTTATTTCGTGATACGAATTTATATTTATCTATGTTTACAGCTATTTTACATGTTTACAAAATATGTATCTATTCGTGTTTACAATGGTTTTCATGTAAACACTAAATACCTTTTTGTGTAAGATTTCATACAGGAGTCTGTAATAGTCGCGAAAGTAACAACAACAGCAGCTAAAACAACTGCTGTTACAATTATGTTCTTTCAAACTACAAGTAATAGAAAGAGCATCGATACATAATTTGTACGAGGGGCGTAGACAGAAACTATGTACTAATCAGCAAAACTTAAACATCTTTTATGTACCGAAAGGCTTTGTTTTACCATATATCATGATCATTTTGTGTACTGGTCTTGCCATGGTTAAAAAAACAGTTTTATGAATTTAACCGTAAAAAACCCACTTCATTATGGGAGCCCGGCCAACCTACATTGGTTTTGAAAACAGTCCTGTCATAGTAATATATAGTTCTGATAATGTCGTCACAAGTAGGCCTACTAAAACAAATATTCAAAAATGTTTATTGTTATCTTTAAGAGAAAATAAATCTTATTTTTAATGAAATACTAGTAAATGATTTGTAGGCTTACCACATAAATCTGATATACATATAGATAATGTAATAATACCGACATGCTTCGCTGCGCAATTGTATATTATTGATTAATAAAAAAATATGAAAATCTCGGTAAATATAATCATTTGTTCATAATACTATCATTAAAGTTTATAATACCAACATCAGAATTATTGCAATTCACTTAACTAAATCGCATTCAATATTCACAATATTTTTTACATTAACTAAAGATAAACTTGCATATATAAGCAAAACGAAATTAAATTTAAAGTAAATAAACAACAATAGGTAATTAAAATGTTCAAAGATTATCATAATGTTGCCAATTTACACAAAGATTAAACGATTTAACATTTCTCTATCAGTTTTAATTTTCCGACTGACCCGTCTTGAACCCGTGGAGTAAATTAAAGCTGAAATTACTATTACAAAAAGGTGGTAAGGCGAGAAATAACTTTTACACTTATATCGCTGGTCAAAACGAGTTTAAAGTAAATGATTTGAATTTATGGTACGTGTAACCCCCTTCCTCAACACCCAGTTCTCGACCGGTTTGATATTTACTTCAGAAATGTGATTTGTATCAAAGGACATGGTAACGCCAGATTCTGATGTCTTTACCTGAATAGAGTAGTTTAAGATTAAAGAAAGTAATTAAAGTTAATAAGTTTTGTACAAATCAAGTACACGGGGTTAAGTTTCACAAAAAGGCGAATAAAGTTTTGGAAGCTGAAAAGTTAGTGTTCATTAAATGGCGAGTACTACTGGAAGCCGACAAGAGGTGGTCTTCTACGGCTATCCTGGTTGTTATTTAGATCATTAAATGATGACCTATGATTTAACATGAAATATGGGGTTAAATTGGACCAAATATGATAATATACTATATTACGTCTTAGGTTTAACATAAACACTAAGTACATGTATAATATGTATAATAATTCTATATAATTTTCAAATCGAGGACGTAAATATTATGTTAAACAGCACAGAAACTTGGACATCAACTAGAAGTTCTGCTCTGTTCATAAATTAGAAGCATAGATGTAACGAATTTAGAAGAGCGAACTGATGGACAAACAAACAAACAATAATGAAACTATCAAGATGTGTGGAGAACACGATGAGATCAACTGACCAATGTTGTTTGTTGTTTGTTTTGCTAACAGTGAGAAAACGTCAGTCTTTAAAGAAAGCTAACTGATATACTTATAAATAACCTATGATTGATGAGAAAAAACAATCCCTTTGAAGTATTGCCGACTTGCACGAGACTTCACCTGAGCACATTTCTGTGTATTGAAATGAACGAGTATTCCAAAGTTAGATAAATCTTTTAAAAAGTTTTGCTTTACATTTTATTTGCTTTTGCTGAAATTTAAAATCGCAATATTCGGGATGTGTACGTACATTCCACAGAAACGGGTACCCCCATCCCATGGCGATATTCATTAAAAAAATGAATAAAAGAACATATTGTTTGCATTCTGATTACTTTTTCCCTTACCATAAAAATACCAAAAAACATTTAACATATAATATTAATTATAGATTATAAATATATACAATATAATAATAATAAAAAAACATTTGCTTCAAAAAGTTCATATTCAAAAGAAATTAATTATTGATAAATAAAAAAAAATACTCATAAAGTTATGATAATATTTTTTTGTTATGTCGTAAAAACTATAATTCAGTCAGTATTTATGATAAATCATACAAGAAATTTAATTTTAGACATGAGTTTAGTAACATAAAACACGATTTAATCTTAATTTTGTTTCAACATAGTCGGATTTAATGATATTTTGGTGACATTTTCTTTATTTTTAAAGGTCTGTTTAAAAGAAAGGGCGACAGATCGGGCCCGATATCGGCGGAATTTTGTCATTAAATACACGTCTCGTCAAGACAATCCGCGAAAAAAAAAATTATCCTTGACACTAAGTGTTGACAAAGTAGTATATGACGACCCTTAATTTCGAACATTAATTGTAATTAGTGATTGAAAATAGATAAAATGACATAAAATTGTCACCTACGACGCTTCTCCACCTATTTTTATGTCCTGATATTATCTTTAAGTAAGGCCATATGTGTGTCTTCAATTTAAAAGGGTAATTATTTATATACATTTTTTTGTTAACAAAATATCAATTTCCTTATAAAAATGATAACCGCAAAATCGTTGCCTTCCTTTAATAATTATGGCAATTTTACAATTATGGTAGCAAAGTCGAGAATAAAAGAAAATTATGAATAATTATGACAGTGCATTTCAATAGGATGATACAGTTCATGAATAAAAGACATTATAATATCAGATTAGTTCAGTATTATAAATATCTAATATTGTTATCATAGGATAAAAGATTAAACAAGTTTCGGTCTCAGTGTCAAGAACGACGCAAAAAAATGTAGCACTCCGCGTAAAGAGTCCAAAGTTTGCCATGTGTACCAAAGAAATTATCCTATTTTTTCTGTATGAAATGTCAGCCTATGAAAATATAGAACATAATTCAGGAAAGGAAACAAACACAAAAATATGTCGAAAGTCATCCTGATTACGCTGCAGTACGATCCCTTCTCCATTTACCTTAACCCCCTTGCTCCCCCCCCCCTCACCACACCCCCATTTCACGCTGGGTATAGTAATCGATGTATTTCAACATCTGACCCAACATGTTAACAAAGTTCATTACAAAATATCGACATAATACTACAACGCTCCGAAATGCATGTCCGCAATTAATCAAGTACGAAATGAGCAGATTTGCTACGAAATGAAAATACACGGGGGCTTCGTTAACATGCTAAGCCATGGTCAAATATTTACCCACATGGTCAGTTGATTGGGATACGGTCACTATAGCCGGGACTGTTCTAATATCACGAACTTGTGAAGTTATTAGAACCCTTAAACGAATAAACAAACTCCTTGAGCTGTTTCTTCTATTTGATTGTAAGAAATGACGAAGGGTCATAAATCACTTTTGAAATCGGTTTTCGAAAGGTGTCTAATGTAAAACTTTACTCGACTAATGCCCTCTCATTCACTCCATCCGAAATTTCTGATAAGTTCGGATCAAGATGGATTACATGCATTGTTTGGTAGATTTATCTAAATCGAACGCACTTTTATTTCAAATGCACGCTTTTAAGGAAATATCCTAGTTATTATGGAATTTTAGGATATGGTTCATATACGGGTGTCCATTTTTGGGTGTAAACATTAAAATTTGAATATAATTCATGATACGATGTTTTAATATTTGTTAAAGATTTCAGCGAAGTTATATTTAAAATGAGATATATCTATTAATCGCAAATTAATGTTCAGCTCTTTATTTAATCAAAAATAAAGAAAGTTGATCTTGAAAATAAATTATCTTAACATTAGTTTGTAAAAGACATAGAGACAATACATTTTGTCTTTAAAAATAAACAGCTCTTAAACGAATAATAATGATAAAAAACAAAGACGTTTTTAAGGCGCCCATAAAGAGTCAATAAGTTAAAAAGGCTTAGTGATACTTTTATGGCAGTCAATTCGTTTGAAAAATATCGCTTTAAAGTTTAAAATAAATAAACATCATAAAGTCTAGTTACAATGACAATAATAGTATTAAAGAAGACGTTAACAATATTAACTAGTCGAGTAGGAAGTGTCAGTGTGATAATGTTTAATAATCTCCATTAACAATCTAGATGTTTTAAAACTGATAAATTAGTGAAAACTTGAAGAAAAAAACTGATAAAGATCTAAATTCACAACTCACTCGTGTCTCAAATTACTCCCGTTGGCCGCTCCACCGCGCATTGATTTTTAACTCGCGCTCTGATTGGCTGACTCGATTAGCGGGCGGAGTTTACAGGTACGATTCGCTAATGTAAATATCAGCGGTGAAACTTTTTTCTCATAACCAATTCTTACACAAGATTGATAAACACTATTGGAATTTGTATTATAATAACAATATAACTGGATTAACTTGTACTTATTTGACATTTATAAGTGACAATATTCTATGATTCAGTAAAAAAAGCCAACGTTGGTAATCCCGGACAAAATCCATTTACCAACGTGGTTTTATGCTATAATAGGATAATATTAAAGGTTTACTATTTTTCTTCTGCTGAAAGAGAAACGTTTTCCTTAAGGCGTCCACTTCAGTGGCACAGAAGCGAAATAATAATAGAATTACATGTGCTTGTTTTGATGAGAAAATAATATTTATTCATAGTATTTTGATATTAGCTTTGACAGAAAAAAAAACCTGGACAATTGTCAAAAGAATTGTAGTTTCGACCAGATGAGAAGGCAGTTTTTAAGACTCCAGAATAATTATTTTCGAATGACTGTGTTGTAGTGTACAAGTGTAGGAAGGAATTTTTGTTTCGGAGAGTTTTACGTTCAGAGGAGAAAGAAAATGTCGACTAGAAGTAGAAATAAAAAGATGACCATGTTACGGATGTACGTTTTCAGTATTATGTGTTGTGTATCCTGCCTGGGACAAGAAATTCTTAAGTATTCAATTTTGGAGGAGTTACCAAAAGGACGATTCATCGGTGACGTGCGAGAAGATTCAAAACTACGGACGATGGCGTCAGCAGACGACTTTTCCCAAATTAGCTACAGTGTTTTAGCAGAAGGAAAAACATACGAGAAATATTTTACAGTAAACTCGAAAAATGGTTCTTTATATACAGATGATGTTATTGACAGAGACTCGTTAACAAACTGTGTTTATGAAACCGTGTGTGTTCTTCAATTAAGTATAGTTGCAAAATCAGAGATTAGTGCATTCTTTAGGACTTTGAAAGTGAGTATTACGATAAAAGATATCAATGATAACGTGCCAGTATTTCCACAGGATTTCATGACTCGTGAAATATCAGAGCTCGCGTCCATTGGTGCCTCAATGTCACTAGTCGGTGCCATCGACGGTGACTCCGGGAACTATTCTCTACAGAGATATTATATTTTAAATGAAGAATCGTTAGACTTGCCTTTTACAATATCTTATGAAAAATTTGTAGATGGAAGCTCAGATGTTAATCTAAAAATAACAGACAAGTTGGATAGGGAAGTTCAGGACTCCTATACTATTACAATTGTAGCTGAAGATGGGGGCCAACCTCCTCTGACTGGAACAATGACGCTAAGCATCATCATAGACGATACCAATGACAACAAACCTGTATTCGGCAGCCAGTTATATAACGCAACGGTTAACGAAACGATGGAAATCGGCGAAGAGATTATACAGTTATCTGCCACTGATGCTGACATAGGAATTAATAGTGAAATTGTATACAGATTAAGTAGAAATCAAATTGGCAAAATTCAGGAATTATTTGCCATTAACGAATCCACAGGGGTTCTGTCGGTCAAAAAGAAGTTTGAAAGTGGTGGACAGTTCCGGGTGATCGTTGAAGCGAGTGATAAAGGGACACAACCGTTGATGACTCAGGCTATTGTTTCGGTCACCGTTTTGGACTCTGACAATAATCGCCCGGATATTAAGGTAAACCTGTTTTCGGATAGTGGAATGGCGACGATCTCTGAATACGCGGATTTAGGAACTGTTGTGGCACATGTTAAAATAATTGATAAAGACACCGGAGCTAATGGAATAATTAAATGTGATATTGACAGTGATAACGGGGTTTTCAACCTTCAAGGTTTAGATGTCAATGAGTACAAGGTCACGGTCGCTAGGGGCCTTGATAGGGAAAGCATGGATTTTATCTTCGTGGTAATTAACTGCTACGATAAAGGTACACCGCCACAGACAAGCTTCATTGAATTTAGTGTTAAAGTTATTGACGAAAATGACCACTCTCCTATATTTTTACAGAAAATTTACTTTATTGATATACTAGAAAATAACACAGTTAATTCAGACATTGTGCAGGTATCAGCTATCGATAATGACATTGGCAAAAATGGTGAAATTTCGTACTCCATGTGGGCTACTGGTGATTATCGTTTTACTATGGATCCACTATCAGGGATGATTAAAACCCAGTCTTCTTTCGACCGCGAGAAGAATGCCACAATCAAATTGTATGCATATGCCAGAGACAATGGGTCTCCGGCTCGAACCGGCACCGCCACGGTGATAATAAACGTCCTCGATTTGAATGATAATGTCCCAGAATTCAATAAGATGTTTTATGAGTTTAGTGTATTAGAAAATGTGGCTATCGACACGAGTGTAGATCGTGTAGTTGCTACTGACACGGATACTGGTGACAATGCTAAACTGGGCTACCATATTGACAAGGCTGTACCTTTTACTATAGATTCTAATGGGGTCATAACTACAAAAACAAAACTTGACCGTGAAGATAAGTCAGTTTATAGCTTTTTAGTGACCGCTTATGACCATGGAACGCCGTCCTTGAATACGTCAACAAATGTCGTCGTGCACGTGCTGGATACGAATGATCACGTGCCAAAGTTCATCTTCCCTGACATAGTCAACTACACAGTCGAACTTACTGCTGATACTCAACCAAACTCTGTTGTCAGAAAGATTCAAGCTTTAGATCTGGATGAAGGTTTAAACGGTGAATTGGTTTATTCTATACTAAACTCAAATGTGTCAGATTTATTTAGAATAGATGAGGGTTCTGGAGAAATAACGCTCGTCCGTCCCCTGGTATCGTCTGATGAAGATGTTTTCAACATATTGTTACGCGTGGATGATAAAGGAACACCTAGCCTTTACGCCACAACTTCATTGAACATTTTCGTTGCTAGGAAACAACCGTTGCCTTCAGTGGGTGATTCTAAGGGAGAAAATTTGCTAATTGCAATCACTGTCAGCGTCGTTACATTTGTCCTCGTATTCACGATCGTACTCGTCATCTGCATTTTGAAGAGGAAGTGGTTCAGAAATAAAGAAAATTCATGCTCCGAGGACACATTCTGCGAAAAGGCGAAACCCGGAAATGAACGAAGAGTGAAATTTGCCGATTTGGAACCGCGGATAAATGAGAAGAGGTCATCCGTTACCATGCCACCGCCGTATGAAACCATGACAACTTTCAGTAACTGCGACGGCAACGATAGCAGAGATTCTGATATGACTACATCAACGGTTGACATGGAGACACCCATCCTCGAAAAACACAACAAAGTAAGTTTCATGATTATCTAAAATGAAAAAAAAAAAAACTAAAAAAAAATCCCTTCGATTTTTGTATCAATTTTCAATTTTCTGATTTATGGAGAGATAACCTTTATGTTATGAAGTCACGTTATTGATATGCATTTTAATCTAAAATTAAATCTTTTCTCACTATTTGGTATAAAGGTTAACACTTTTTATAACAGTATTTTTTTCACTGCGAGCTGGAGCTGAAATTTACCATTTCGCTTAGCTTTTAGTCGACGATTTTATCTGTTCGATTTAACGTTTTTCTAATTAAAAAGATCAATGAAAGAGCCAATTCTCACATGAGAATATGTTCTGAAATATTGACCATTAAATTAATCGAACGCTGATTCTGCATCTTAAAACCCGAAAGGGAAATAAATTTAATTAAGTCTTGAAATTCAATTCCAGAAACTGTTCAATAAAGTATATTGCATTAAAAACAATAATGGGTACAATGACATGCTTTTAACACAATGAATTGACGAATTGTTAAATGAAAACTTTTAATTGGGAAAAAAAATGTGACAACCTTATAAAGAGAAAAAGCTTTTTAAAAGATTATTTTTGATGACTCATTTAAGTACAATTCAATGAAAAGGAAAGAAAATAGTAAAAATTTTACGAGCCAGCGATGAAACTACAAAAGGTGTTTGTCACCACACAGGACATCTGTAAACCTTTAATCTCGAATGTTTATTGAATTAATCCTCTCGATTTTTATGGTGACATTTAACTTTATCTATGAGTTACATTACAACAAATGAAATTTTAATGGTATTTTCTTAAGATAAAAATCTTTACATCATTTTAAACATAAATTTTACATTTAAAATTTTCATTTTTTCAATCATCGCTTTAGAATGTCAAATTTGAATTTCGTATGAATGCAGTGTTTTTTTTAAAAAAAGACCTTTAAATGGTTTCTCCTTATTAAAACTTTGGGCTTTTTTTTTCTTTTTTTTTATCGAATTTCGTTGAAAAGTGTAGCAAAGTTTCAAACGGCGCCATTTTCTAAATGATTTATTGATGAATATTAACATATTTAATTTATACGCTTCTTTACCTGATATAAACTGCTGAGTATATTCATTATTTACGAAAATAGGAATTAGAAATTTCACAAGTATTGGCGCTTTTTACTCGTGCACGTTCCTGATGCTCTGAATATAAATTAATAGTGATGATCAGTTACTTACACTGAGACGTAAACTGTGACATAATGTGATTCTGCAGGACGGTCTTACGTTTTCATTTACAATCAACTTTTTTAAAAACAAGAATTCTAAAGAACTTATTCATAGATTAATATGGCTTTGGAACTAAAAAGAACACGGACCGCCCAGTATCATACTCTATTATACTTTATATTTTATTCTAACGCTGCCTTTATTACCATAAAAGATGTACATTAAAACTGACATGAAGAAATCTTGTGCATTATTTATTCACTGCATCAGATGTTTTACTGTCATAAAGTGCTCATAATATTTCCATTCATTCTCTAATCTTTACATCTGGGGATTTTTATTAGAGGATTTTATATAAAGGTAGAGACAGTACCCGTCATTGAGGCTTATACATAATTCAAACTTTCGAGAAATCTAAGACATCTAATCATTGATCATTGCTAAACGGCGCATGTACACATTAATGATTTTGCATTCTGGGAAAAAATTAACTTCCACCGGAAGTAGTTCAAACACACCATTTTAGGATATTATTAGATAAGATTTTGGTAATATAAAGGGAGATAATCATTTCATGCTGTAAACTGAAACATTTTGCTTATGAAACCGTTCTTTCTTTAAATCAATAAACCGATTTAAATTCATTAGACCACAAGGGAGGCTGAAAATGGTTGAATAAATAGATAAACGTTTTTCCGTATCTATCCATCATTATTAAATGTTTAATATTTTTTTTCTCTCTATCAAAAAAAGCAAACCGTTATTTCCTCACAAAGTAAAGAAATCTGATCCTTGCCAAACGCCGTGTGGTTCTATCTAGTTGTTCGGCTTCAAGAGCCTCTGTTTTATTTGAGTTTCACGCCTTGTACATTAAAATCATTTCAATTTTGCTTTTTATGGAAGACCGTTTACAAAGGAATCGAATGACATGAGTACATAATTAAAGCGGGGTATTAACCATTCATGGCTTTTAGAAAATTAACATTTCAGAAATGTGGTATCCTTCCGCGCCGCTCTATCCAAATCAATAGCAGTTTCAAAAAAAATGAAAATCTATTAACAAATTAGAAGCTTTTGTTTACGAACAATGTATAGAAAATGTCACTCTGGGTTGTGTAAATATTTCTACATGATCTCACCTTTTTTCTCAATTCACCTGGTATTTTAAAGCGTTCCAAAGAATTGTCGCTAAATATTGTATTAAGTTTAACCTAGCATAAATCTGTGAAAATAAGGGGAAAAACAACGAAGCAGCGTTTAAATTAATTATTAGTATCTCATACATAGTCATGTATACATAGATCTGTTACAAATTTTCAGCAAACACACTATTTTTAGTGTCCCCCCCCCCGAAAATAAAACAACAAAAAACACACACACACTCACAAAAACAAATACTTTTCTTATTTTGAAGTGTTATAATATTAGCACGCATATTCACTGATTTAATCAAATTGTGGGCACCTGCCCATTACTATATATTTCAACAAGTTTTGGTAATTTTCACTGATTATGATTGCTTTAACCTTCGTTCACGTCTTAAACACGCTAATAATGTCGATGATTTGGTCCCGAAAATTTGTAAATACAAAATGAAGTCACCTGAACAGTTGCCTGTCACTAAATTACTGTAATTTTCCCTCTTTAGAAAGACCCCTTGACTGGTTAGTTTTTATGTATACACACTTAGGACTTGAAATGAATTTTTGCACGAAATATTATAATGATCTATTATATCATGTACTTTATTTAACATACAAAAAAGGAAAAAAAAACGAAGAAAAAAATCAAAATAATTATAAATGATTTATTTAATCACATAAATTTGTATATCATTGTATATTTAAGAATAAATGAGGAAAAAAATCAAGTCATTTTGATAACTGAAGCGGAAAACGTTTAGTTGCCCCGGTGTCTCGTGGTGTTTTGTGAAGTTTACATTCTTATTAATAATATGAACTGATTTATCGTAAGGTTAAATACATACGTCACTTTTTTTTCTTGTTACGACAACAAATACTGTTGTTTAGATGTTCAACATGTTTGATACATAGATACGCGACGACTGGTCTGTAACACAATTGAAGGAGTGATCATTGAGGACGAAATTTTTATGACATTTGATGAAAACATTTTATAATATTTCTTTCATTTTTTAACAGGTATCGAAAGAACAAAGGGACCTAGCATCTACATCAACTTTGAGGGGATCAGCTGAGCAACTTGTGGGATCATCCGAAACTTTATGCGAAGTGAAACAATCTACGCCTCGTTCTGACGACGGAAAGCCTCGTTTTGATAACACGCCTCGTTCTGATTCCCAACTGTGGACGCTGCAATCACATAGCACTCTTCTGAATTCATCAATCAAGGTAAATATTTTAATATACATGTAAACTATTTCCTCACGTTACACATGCGTGCAGTGCTGATTTCCATCATAGTTATTAACATAACTTAAAAGATATTCAAAAAGGACGGACTGACTATCTTTTTATTTATTGAAGTCTGTAATTACAGTGATATGTCTAACAAATAAAGACAATATAGTCTTTTAATGAATAAAAGGAAGTTATGATTGATAGACCAATTATACAATAACATTTTATCTTTCAGCCGCACACGACAATTTCTACGTTTGGTCCAGACGACAACCATTCACACACTTCCGGTGAAACTGTGACTAGTGATAGTGGGCGAGGCGGAAGTGAGACAGATATTCACAGTGCCAGTCTTTCAAACTCTCACGATTCAGGTATGCGTACATTTTTACTAAGAATCAATTTAACATCAAAACATAGAAATTTATTTTCCAAATTTCGTAAAAGTAGTTTATTTTTAGGATTTAGATTAATGTTCTTTCTTTTAAAGCTCATAAGCTATTTCAAAATGAAAACCAACACGATACGTTATTTATTAAGTTTGTCTTTCTTTTTTTCTACAGATATCAGACTTCCTTCCGACTTGCGATATCCACGCGCTAACAGCACGTTCATTGGACAGCAAAAGCCCTGGTTAAATCTTGCGGATCTACGTCATCACAATTGCCAACGACTTCCGGTTGCGCAGCAGCTTCACGACGATCGTAAACACAGACTTCAGCTCCGTGATTTCGCCGATAGAACTAGCACAAGGAATAAGCCGGGTGTACACCAGTTTCATAGAGGGCCACATTCACAAAGTGATAATAACTTTAATCGTCAAAAAGTATATCCGGTTTCAAAACCACCCGTTTTCCAGCCACCACCCAGTGACCTTGACCGTAGTTATATGACCTATGAAGAAGAAGACGATGACTTGTCAACTACAACCTCGGGGAGTTATACCATTGACCACGAGGATGTGAGCCTAGATTTACGGTCTCCGCCACCAGGTGCTCATGCACTAAGGGGATGTCTGGTTTGAAGCGGGAAACATTCGGGAAGGGGAACTACTCCAACCTTAAGGTAAGGTGACTTTTAATCACAGCAATATATATCAATTTTATTTCATTTAAATTCAAATATTATCTCTATCATGCTTGATTTATATCCACACAATGTTTGCTTATATAAAGACTGTTTAAATGTAGTATCCTTTAGTTTAAACAATATTTTATTTATAATCCACACATTTACATAATAAATTACATAAAATAAAATTTTACGGATTGAGTAGGAAGCTTGTAAAGCTTTTTTGATATCCTTTAAAACTTAGTGTCAAGTTTAACCAACTTATCAATGCAAATATATTATAACAAACATTCATACTTTTGGCTTGATCGATTGTAACAAACCCTTAAATTATTTCTCCATTTTAGGGCCCAATCAACCTTGGCTGCTGAAAATCAAACTCTCTTGAGCCTGTGACATCAATTATGACGTCATCACGATGAAATGACCAGACAATGGCTTACAAATTCTAAGCAAGACAAGATGAGACTTGCATCCGATGTAATCATGAATCATAGTTCCTTGCATCAGGTATGTAATATATTTCGAAAACATCTTATCACTTTAATAAGGCATATCTGACCTAAGGTTATGATTTTCTGTCTTGAGTCTCAGGAGTTTAATTGGGTATTAATTCTCCTGTACTGTCTCTGACCAATCAAATACCAGAGGTCCGAGATCGAGCTAAGAAGAAATTGTTTTTACCATTTTACACTACATGTACTTTTTTCTGAGAAAATGTAATGGAAGTTTCCAAATCATACTTTACTTTAGGTTATATATATTTTAATATTGTTTTTCATTGTTTCAATTATTAAATAGCTTCCAATTCTTTGACAGATGCAATTATGAAACTTGATTTTACCTTGAAAATAATACTAATTCCTTCTCTTTTTTACTTTTACCAGGAACTGAAGGCAATCGAACAAGTTCATCAACAAGGCCAAGGTCATGACAAGTCATCTGGTTCCCAAATAACTTGGAAACCAGCCAAACCGATCACGTGATTATGTCAATATAAAACAGTGGCCGTTAAACAGAGTGCTATATGTTAAACAAAGGTGTGCAATAACTGGTGCTTTCGTTTTTAAATTTCCTTGTGACATTTTGTGTAAGGAAGTTACATAACTGTGTTCATTCATTACCAGAGTTATCTTCTCTTGGTTAAACACATTTTATAATTGTAAAAAAACTGTGATATTGGACCGTGTGCATTTTATACAGGGTCACATAATTATGATCTCTTGAATTCGTATTATATTTTGCTATTTTGAAAGTGTAATTTATTGTAGGGAAAGTTGAATTTAAAAGAAAATATATAAGGATATATGTCAGTACTGTTTTAAAGATATAACATGTTGTAAAAATTATTGCATGTTTGAATGTAAATGTGTACAAAGTGTTTCTCAATTTCTATTGTTGTATATTATGATGTAAATTATTACGCAATTATGTTTTGTTATTGAGATTGTTAAGTATTTAATAAAGAGAAAAATTATTGTAAAAAAAATAATATAAATGAGATAGAAACTTTAATTTCTGTGTCGTTTTCTATTATATTATTATCACGCTACACCCTCAGTTTTATTCATAACTCATGTTTGAAAGATGAAAATAGAAAAAAGTAAAGATACGTGCAAATCAACTTTGTGGGGTTTGGTCATTCGGGGCGTCCTCGGCTTTTATTCATTACATCCGAAGACTATCGAAAAAGGTCGAAAAGTTGCGATTTAAGTTTTGCTTTAAAATTTCACTGTAGGGCCTACCTACGATAATGTTCAAAAGAAACTTTTGGCACAACCCTTTTGTATATTGTGTAGATATATTGATGCAAACTTATTGTATATCTATGCAAGTATTTTCAATAATATATTATTCAATCTTTTAACCAAGGCTATACTAAAGTTGGAAAAGGGAAGATCTTAGAACATTATTTCTTTAAATATAAAAGAAATGTCTACCATGCTTTTCTGTAGTAAAATAAACCTCTTTGAATAGAAAAATTGTCAAATATTCATGTCCATTAGTCAAGATAAAACAGCCAAGGGAAAAAAATTATAGAAAATAACAAAATATTTGATCCTTCACTTATTTGAATCGAACCCTTAACCTATTGGAAACGAAAGCGAAATGCCTTAGTCACCAGTACCGACCCAGGCCAGCCAACACTTCCGTGCAGTCTGACCAGTCTCTATATACTGCTGGTACCTTCATGCTTGTAATTTGATACCGAAATCCTTCAAACTTCAAATGGACTGTTTCAAATTCAAAGCAGGGCAAATCCATTACACAAATTCAGCGGGTTAAATGTCGGTGATGCTTAAAGCAGTATGTGTACAGGTTCATGTCTTTTGCATGGAAATTTTAGACAGTGTTTTAAATGGTAAACAAATTTTCAAATAGATAAAATAAATAATATAATACTTCTACGGTCTTAACAGATTTTTGTTTTTTACCATCGTCGGAACCCACGGTGCACATCCCGTACATATTAGTTCTACATTTAATATACGATAAATAGCCTAGATGTTTTTTAACAAATTAATTTCAGACTCATATTCAAAGCCCATTTTCAAAGGAACTCCACTGAGGTTTATAAGCCAAAAAACATAAAATTTTAATTTTTCACATAGATAAACATGAGCAGTTAAAACAGAAATATAAATCAAATATAACCAAGAAATATACAAGAAATACATTGAAAATCATATATTTGTGCTATTCTCAGTCCGATTTGAGTGAAAAGCGTTTAAACGCTTTTTAATTTTGGGTCATTTTTCACTATTATAATAATTATTCTGGAAAAACGGAGGGAGCTAATGATCTGAAAGTTTTCACACACGTTTTTAGTATAGATCTACATCAACTAGAGTAATAATCTAAAAAAATTATTTCCAGTCCTGTCATGTCAAAAAACCTCAGTGGAGTCCCTAAAACCGATTGATAACGTTATATTTTGTCATTGCTTCTGTTTTCATGATTTTTTTTTGTCTTCACACACGGAATGATTTGTTCATAAAAAACCTAATAAACTTCGACAAGCTGTCGATCTAAGCGACTTTATTATGAAATGAATACGATCGGAAAAATATATTTGTATGAGCAAAGCGATTTATACGAGTATTTTTTGGAACTCAACACCGGTTGCAGCTGTAATTCGAGAACCAGTCGGAAAGGGCTTTTCAAGCCAGTCGAATTGTTTAAATACCATTTGACTCGAATATGAGCAATAAAATACACAGGACAGAAGGACACCCGCGTACATGATACCAGCTTTGTTTAGTTATTTTTGTTACAAGAACAAAACGCGGAAATAAAGTCCGCCATTTTAATGGCATTCTGGACGGGTATACATCTGTGTCAACAGGCCGGTTTCCGAACTCAGATTTCTTTTGATCTGAGTGGCTTGGACGCTTATTTGGCAATATCGATGGCCAGGTATGTGACAAGGCTCCAACTTTGATGCAATAAAACATACATAAAACCTGTTTCATTGTGAAATTCAATTTCAGCCTCAATAAGAAACCTGCAATTTGACGTGTAATTAAACTCAACAAACCTCATTTCAATTGTGAAGCGAAGAATATTGGTGTTTTAAATTGAAGGGGAGTTACTTTTGATATAAACTTAAAATGCGTCATTACCATAGAAAAAGGTAAAAGGCATATCAATAGTGTGTTTTTATTCCTGAAAAAACACCGCATGAATTTGTATGCATTGACAACGGACTATTACATAACGACACTGCTAAGTCTCTAATTTCTTTCGCCATGAGAGAGAGAGAGAGAGAGAGTAAATAAACGGTTTACTGGTGCACAAATTTAATGAAATTACTAAATAATTAAAGTGATCTCATTTTCTTTCAAACGCTTAACTTATAGGCATTATAGTTCTAAATTGAAGTCAATACATGTACAATAAAATGAGATATCATGAAGATTCTTGACCTTTAAGAAAGAGCATCTGAAAAGCTAAATGCACTACATGTAGTAAATCTTACCAATACACTTCACGTTCCTTGAATTCAAAATAGGAAATTGCTCATTCAAATACACCATATTAAGAACAAACGTAACTGTTTAGTGTTTAATTATAAAACTCAATAATTGAATTTCAGTTCTACGAAAGCGCTGAGGGAACATTACGCACTTGTTGCTTGGCTGTTACGAGTAGGTTTATGGTCTGTGGGAAGACAGGTTATTACTATAAAATTAATAAATATACATTAGACATAATGACTCTCTAAGTATAAGAATTTTGTTATGTTATAATACTTTTTGAAAGGCACTGAGGGTGGGGCTTATATTTGACCAGTTACTCCAAATGCCATTGCAGTTAAATATATATCTTATATTAATATTATTTTATCTGATTTAAAGTAAAAAAATAATTAAAATCATTTATTTAAGCTTACATATGAAACATGTTCTTTCAAGATACATACACAGTAATCCTTTTCAAGCTCGAATCCTGTTTCGGTGTCATCACAAGGAACATGGTCGTGTACGGCATAGGGCTCTATAGGAGCACATTTGGTACGGGCTGGGCTCGACCCGACGTCTTCTGGTCCAAGAAGCAGACACATAAACTACAAGGCTAATATCTAAATTTCGTTTAAGAGTATACACACCTATAAACGATCGTCTTTTTTCACACAATATCACTATTTTTTCCATATAATTATAAATTACTTTATAATCAAATTGAAACATGAATTATCAAATATCTACAGATTATGCCTGAATGCAAAATTGAAATACTTCAAAGCTGAAATTAATAACACAAATAGTTCGCGTATTAGTCAGTACCTGCTCACGAGACGTTTAAATTATTTATCTTTTCATCGTAATTTTGTAAAAATTACCAATTTTTCTTAAACGAAAAATTAAACAAGTTAATACGCCAATCAAAGTATTCAATAATCACAGATGATCACATGATGCGTAATCGATATCTAAATCACACGGCAGCAGACGACTTTCTGACGGAATTTAACGAGCAGTTTATTACGCGTAAATTTCATTTTCTCCTTTTTAAAATTTCACTCTTCTTTTCATTTTTCAGTGAAATATCGACAGATAAGAAATACTACCAGATAATTGTTCAAACGTAAGATAATTTGTGTCTATTTAGCGTAACATGACTGTCATTTTTTCTTATGCTCGTAAGGGTTTCAATTTAAAGTGTCACACTTTCCCATCGTAAACATACATTTTACATCACAGTTCATTTAAAATATCCAGCTAAAACGCGTCCAAAATTCACAGCCCAGTAAAATAGCAATTGAACACCGAGAAACTATTAGCTAGCTTAGTTCAAATGTAATTTTGGTTCAATAGAGCAGGAAATATTTAGGTCTAAACCGATATCATTTAGGTTCGTATCCGGGCTTAACGGACCTTGGGCCGTAATACGGAAATGCCTCTGTGGCGCGAGTACGACTCGATCCCATGGTCCCTGGGTTGACATACAAGAATGCTTACAGCTAATCTGTTGCTCGTGTTATTATACATGTATTTCATATTTACTCCTCGATTCTTTTTAAATATTAAATGTAATATATAGAGATAGATTTTTCCTGGAAGGAAGTCTCAAGGGCTGGGTGGAAAACAGATATCGAGGTCATATTCAAGTCATAATGCACGAATGTTTTTAACTAATTCACTACCTTTTATATGAGGGGCGTCCGTGGCCGAGTGGTTTAGGTCGTTGACTTCGAATCACTTGCCCCTCACCGCTGTGGGTTCGAATCCCGACAGGGGCTTTGGATTCTTTCATGTGAGGAAGCTATCCAGCTAGCTTACGGGACGTCGGTGGTTCTACTCAGGTGCCCGTTCGTGCCTGAAATAATGCACGGAAGGGCACCTGAGGTCTTCCTCCACCAGTAAAGCTGGAACGTCGCGATATGATCTACACTGTGTCGATGTGACGTAAAACCCAAAACAAACAAAACCTTTTATATGACGTTATCGAGGACTCATTTCTGACAGATCACGGGTTTTGTTTCAGTATTGAATCCGTTCTTGTTACTTCGGCGGTCATGCACTAAGAACAGGCGCAGTGATCCAGTGGTAAAGCTTTTTGACTGAAACTCACTGGTCTGGTGTTTGATCCCTGTTTCTCCAACTAAAATTACATTAATATGAACAAAAAATTCTTTCAGACGATACTTTAAAAAACCGAGACCCCGTGTGACTGTGCTTCCCACCATGTACATAAAGAACCAGTTGTTTCTTATAAAGTGGTGTAATATTTCTGTATCTATTGCAACAGTTCTCGACAGAGTTGGATTCTGGTGGTGACATGCATTTAGTACCTGTGATCTTATTTGAGCGGATCTGCAGTCCAGTAGTATCGCGCTAGACTAACGGTCAAGAGACCGCAGGTTCAATCTCCCACTATTCCACAAACAATACTAATACAAATGGTCTTTTGGATATATGACCTTAAAAACCGAAGTCATATCGGTTGTCTTTACTGAGCAAGTAAAAGAACCAGGAAAGACCCTAAAATGGGACTGTATCCATGCATAGTGCCAAAAACAACACCTAACACTTCGTGCATGGGCGTCGCAGTTAAGACGGATAAGGAAGTACAATGTTAATTAACTTAACAGAGAGAAAAACACACACGCACGCACGCCCGCCCGCACACAAACAATAAAATCTGTCACATAAGAGTCCCTGTTTGACACAGTGTGTACCAACAGGTGAAATATATAACCATTTTGTCCGCGATACTATTATTTAATGAACAAGGTATAAACAATAATCAAATGTTGTTTTCATAAAACATATTGGGCGATACTGCGTCACTGCGATTGTTTTCGTCCTAATATTCAAATTTCATCAAAGCAGCTGACAAATATACAAACACCCCACCTGGTGTAACTGTTGTTAAATTGGACGTTTATTTCCTACAAACATAATAATTATGACAAGCTATTGAAAGGGAGCCTGCATGAATAATTCACTTCTTAGCTTCTAAATCACCTCATTTGGTAATCACAGGTGACTGCGGTCGCTTTAACAAACGATCAAATGCCTGTAATTGATACAAAATTACACCCCTATATTATCACTAAAAGGTAATTATGATTTTTATATTGCTGGGTTCTTACAAGTAAAGTTTGAGACCTCTGAGATAAAATTTCAATGAAATATAGCAAAAATTGCAATGGTCCAGTGACACGTAAATAATGAGCCAGTAAATATTTAATATAGGAGAGAGTTAAAAGCGCTTCACGTACTCCGGTTAGTAATTAACCGTGCTTGGATAGGCTATCCAAACGTACCCTTGGTCTGACCCTTAAATTATAACACCATAAATGTAGGGAAATTAGATTTTACGAGCGGTCTTGCGGGAAATGTAACTGGGATTAAGGAAAGAGAAAAGTCAAAGCTTTTTAGTGGGTAACTTTAATTTAATACTTTAATTTCATTTGATTTCTTTAAAAGAAATGTAAAAATATATAGTAGATCTGTTTCTGTATTTATTTAAAAAATCATGTTCCTTAGAATATGTATATACACATATAGAAGTAAGGAAAATTTGAAATACAGTGTAAATTTATTATGAAAATACAGGATCTTACATGTGTTGTCATTTGATAAAAAAGTATATTTAAATTAGACATAAACTCATTACATTAAAGAAGGCATAAATGCACGGTTATATACATGTAAATTATGAAAATATTAAAAATATATGTACAAAGATAATATCACATATATAATATCATATTTCAAGATATTGTGTTTGTTTGAATTTTACTCTATATATATAAAAGAAATATATCACCGTCATGTATATTCATAGAATAACAAGTGAATGAATAAAAAAAACATGGACGTACACATGTGTAAACATGAAATAAAAACAAATAAATAAATAAATAAATAAATAAGAAAACACACCACTATTACACGTAGCATTTGAGGCAAGCTTTACGTCATTCACGGTTTATGTACATGTCATGTTTGAGGTATATCTTAAACATTGTATTCAAATATGCGTTTACGTTAACTTTGATAAGACAAATGAGCCACGTCATGACAAAACCAACATAATGGGTTTGAGACCAGCATGGATCCAGATCAGTCTGCGCATCCGCGCATTCTGATCAGGATCCATGCTGTTCGCTTACCAACCCTATTACAAGTAGAGAAACTGATAGCGAACAGCATGGATCCTGATCAGACTGCGCGGATGCGCAGGCTGGTCTGGATCCATGCTGGTCGCAAACCCATTATGTTGGTTTTGTCATGACACGGCTCAAATGTATCAAATATTTTGTAAATTATACATTGCTCTCCGTTGATACAGTTTTACTAGTGTATCTTGACGTCGACGTCGTCGGGCGACTTGGTGCCGGAGTATCTGCCTCGTGGCAGTACACTGGCTGAATGTACGTAAACTCCTCCGATGCCAGCATATCCGGAGTCTTTGTTCTATTCATTACAATTTCTATTGGCGTAGATGTTCTTGGCTTAAGATCTTTTTCGTCTGCTGCCTCCTCGCGGCGTTCTACCCGACGGCGTTTACGTTTTACCTTTGTCGCGTTACTTTTACGTGGCGGTTTCGGCGGTAATTTCGGTAACCGCACGGAACTTAGAGGCACGTGCGGCGGTGTTCCGTTTCCGGCGGTCAATATGCCGCCATTTTGGTTTAAATCTATCTTTGTTTCTAAATTAGACTGTTTAGATCTCATTTCGTCTTCTGTTTTGTTAGTGTCCAGCGATGACCTTGATGATTTTTTCTTTAGTGACTTCGCATTAAAAGTCGGCTTGGCTGGTTCTAATGATTTTGCAATAAGCAGATTTCCATCTTCAATATCCGTGGACTCAAAATTGAAACGGGCCTCATCAACTAGAACAATACATCATAAAGTAAATAAAGACAGCAGAAAACATACTATATTATTTATTTGTTTAAAGGCACAATATGCATAAGAAATAAATTTTAACTTTTTTTTAGACAGGGCAAACATGAATTTTATAATGTTTAGAAATGGTTTTAGAGAATGTTTGATACATGTTACCTGAAGAAAGTACAATGTAGTGATAAATGTGATAAATAATTTATCATAAAGGTAGCAAAATGAAAACAAAGAAGTATTTTGACTTCCATGCAAAATAATAATTCGCTATAACTGTACTTATTGCCAGAAAGCAACAGATGAAAAAGATGGTTCAGATAATTGGCCAATGAGTAACTTTTGGAAATTATAAACGTACACCAACATTAAAAAGCTTATGAGAAATCGCAATACAAGCATTTCTGAGGCATAATGGCCCTTGAAAAAATCTTAGTTGTTTAATGAAAGGGAAGCAATTTTATACAGATATAAGGTTACTGATACAATATTGTCCGCATTTTCTTCCTGAAGAAAATGTTAGACATAAAAGGGGTTAAGTAAGAAAAAATAAACATTAGTAAAGACGGCTCATCTTAATACATATTTAGAAATTAAGAATTTGTTAAATAAAACATTCAAAATTGAATTTCATTACCAGACGACTCATTCGGTCCCGTTTTTGAACATATTCTGCCAAAATATATAGCAAACCAAACAATACTTACGAGTGCTTGTCGTTCTGTTGTCACTAGAATCAAACACAGTCCCGACGCGTTGACTGACTTTCTTGTACCTGAGATACCAGCAGACAGACCCGCCAATAGAAACTACCAGAATGATAATCAAAATGACAAAAATAGCGACGAACGCTGCTGTAGGTATTGGCAGAACTGTTTCCTCTTGAGATTTACCCGCTCTTGGTGTTGTTATGATAATCAAATCTGAAAAAGGGATTTGTTATATCAAGCTATGATGATAAGAAAATAGGCATAAAGTTAAAGACAAAAGTATGGTAAAATATATAATAAGAGTTTGGTAATTACAAGTCAATTACACACAAGAACGCCATTAATCCTTAACTTGATATATTTTTCCTTAAATGGACTTATCAATCTGCCATATCTGGAACTATCCATTATTTATTTAGGTGATATCTAAACTGAAATTTGAGACTGGACAGACGACAATATAGAGCTTGGTTACACTGAACGGTTGTGCAGACCGGCCTGAATCTGTGCTAGTGGAAAAGGATTAGGCACATTTAGTGTCGGCAGGTTGAGGGTTAAATATGGAGATGAAACACTAGGGTAAATGTAATTCATTGTCATTTTGGCAGGTATGCAAACACGAGATCTCAAAATAGTTATTTCTGTAAAACAGTTTAAAATATGGTTTAATAATATAGAACTTAAAAGAAATTATATAAAATATACAATTTAGCTTTTTGAAATGTACTGAACAACATCCATGTACTTTTAAAGAAAGGACATGTTGTTGATTCATATAAAAGTTTTCTTTAGCAAGGCTTATGCATTTTCGTGCTGATTGACTTGCAAGATGATACATCAAGATGTTTCAAACCACTTGTCCTACACTTTAATTGATTGGAATGATTTGTGTGGAAAAGTTGTCAGTAGCTTGTTAGAAAAGTGGTTAATACTGGTCCAGAACTTCTGCAAGGTAACTATCAACCGATTTTGGCCGAACCAAATAGAATATCACCCAAACAATAACAGCATATGAACGTTTTTTATTCGTACCTTAGCACAGTCATGAAACTGCTCTACGATCTGCTCACTTACTGACGGTTAAAAATGACATTTAGATCAACAATACAACAAATTAGAAATGAACCATGAGTAAGTTGTATCATTTACCACATCGAGGCTCTGTCCCATTCCAACCCGTGCCGTCAGTCAGACAAAGTCGCTGTTGCGGTCCTACAAGCTTGTAGGAAGAATCGCACGAGTAATTTGCTATCATTCCGTTGTCAAGTAGGTCGTAATTACCGTCGATTATAGCATTTGGCGGCTGACAAACTGGAGAAGAACACATCATACATGAATGAAAAAGCTGAATTCATCTTCTTACTTAATTTTTGCCAATAATTGCGAATGCAGTACCTTTAATCTATGTTGCAATAAAATTCATTATATGCTATAAAACATTAAATTTATGTTGCAATACATCAGTCTATAATGCAATACTTTCAATGTATGTTACAATATGTCTAATCTATGCTGCAATAAATAAATACTATCGTGCCAAACAGTCAATCTATGTTGCAATATTCAATCTATGCTGCAATATATTTAACTTATGCTGCAATACATTTAAATTAATTTAATTTAAGCTATGCTGCAAAACATTAAAACTATATTGCAACACATTCCGTTAATACAAACACTAATCTATATTGCAATACATTTACCGGTATTTGATCAATAGAAAATTCAAAAAGTATCATAATAAATTCAAAGACAACTACTTCACACTTAGTAATCAATCACACTTACCACACAAGGGATCTGGGAGGTTCCAGCTTCCATCAGTCAAACACGTGGTGACCCCGACAGACAGAAGATCATAACCTTGTTCACATGAAAATGTTGCACGTGTTCTGAGACCATCTGTTGTAAGTGCCACCTGGCCACTCAGAGGATGTGTTTTCCCTGCACAACTTACTGTAAATCGAAAATTTATGTAGATAGATGAAACGACCGTTTAACATATTACATTTTCTCTGGCTCAAACAATAACGGTGACCCAATTTATTCTTCCCATCCAAATGATCAATACTGGTCGGGGGATTATCCCATACTGGCGTAACAAAATCACTTGTAACATATAGACAGAGGCTAACATCGGTAAATTTTGCACCAAACAACGCTATTACTTAATGGTGAACTTGACTGGTGGAAAATAAGCACACTGTAGCCCGCCAAGCATTAAGAAGCATACCTTTACAGACTTTTAGCCATGGTGCGGCAAACGTTATGCTTTTGAGATTCGGTTCACGACAATATGTCAAATGCCATTGAGTTTTAACAGATAGTTGAATATGGTAGAGAATACCGGTATTAGGGTAATGATTTTATTACTTGTTCATATGCCCGCATATGCGAAAAGAAATAAACACATGATTCATATTATTTTACATATGTATATGTCAATATATAATATTACCACATGACGGTGACGGATAATCCCACGTGCCATCAGCTTGACATATATGCACGTATTCACCGGATAGTGTGTAGTTCAGTGCGCATGCATACTGTCCGTATGTTGTGGAACCGTTTGTAGAAACATCAAAGTTGAGTTCGGGTGGTGTATTGATGGATTCGCAAATGTCTGAAGAATTGATAAACAGTGTAACATACTTATATTATCATAATGTATAGTGATAATGCCCCCCGGCCTCCTGGCATTCTTTCTTTTAAAGCACATTTCCAAGACTTCAAATGAATGCAAAGGTATAGTCTTTTGATACAAATGATTACGTATTTAAGAGAACTATTTTGAAACCAAAACAACAAAACTCTTGCTTTTTATAACAAACTTTTGCTTTTGGAATGCCTTTGATTTTACCGAGCATCAATATATTTAGAATCAAAACAGATACTTCTAGATTAATGTTATTTATCCAAGATTAAAGATATTCGTAGAAACATACTACATGTAGGATCCCTCCCTTCCCATCCTGTACCGTCGTTCTGGCAAAGTCTTGAAGCTGGACCGTCAATACTGTATCCAAGGTCACAGCGGTATGTCGCCACTGGCCCGTCAGCTGTGTCCGAAACCGATACAGATCCATGTGCTGGCGTGACTGGTGTTATACACTCTGAAAAAGAAAAAAAGAAACATACGTCACTTCCGTTTTAAATTCGAAATAATTTTTTGCATCTGAAATTGTTTGTAAAGGCGTACCATTTGCTAGTCTAAAGAAAATCTATGACAAGCATAAATTTTTGAGACCCCGGAGAAGAACTCCCTTTTTAGGTAACTTAAATCAGCCTTCGAAAATAAAAATGTATTTTGATTGTTCAATTTTTAACCCCCTTTTTGACACTTGGGTGTTACAACTAAACAACCAAATGACGGTTTCGTATTTTTGTAGCCATAGTTATTTAGCCAGTCTCTGAAATTTACAAGTATAAAAGGAAAAGCAGTCAGATAAGTCACTTACTGCATGCAGGTGGATCACTATCCCAAGCTCCATTCGTCTGACAAGTGATAGTTAGTTGGCCACTGACGTAATATCCGGTTACACAACTGAACGTTGCTTTGGAAATCAATGAATCTGATGTCATGGTTACACTTCCGCTTCCGGGGTTTGTCAAAGTGGGGCACAAAACTTTAACAGAAAGAAGTTTTTACATAAAATAGATAATAAACAATAAAGATATATGATAATCCCATATAAAAGTAATAAAACAAGCCAGTATGATCCCCAAAACCAACATGTTCTGCTAATATTAGACATTTGCGACATAATGTCGGGAACGATTATCGAGGAACAGTTACGCTAATATTGAGGGGTCAACTCAACACATATTATGAACACCTGAAATAAGGCCAGGATATTTTACTGTGTTTCTTTCATTACATCTTAATTTTGATTTCAGTAACTACAAGACGAAATGATGCCAAGTTCCCAAAGTAAATTCGGAACTTTTCTCATAAGCTCATGATCAGCCAATTAACGTTGACGGCTGTTTTGTCTAGTGAGCTGACGTGCATCAATAGTTTCGTCTTTTGATGATGACAAAACGTTGGCAGCTTGAGTAAGGACATCTTGACGTTTTGACTACGGTCTCGGTTGTGCAGTTCACGCGGGACTGGACCGTGTTCGAGTTGTCTCGGGACTAGGCAGGAGCAAAGCTGCTGTTGGCTCTCATTTATATATCTGTTAAGATTTATCGGAGCTTGACCTAGCAATAACTGCTGCATATGAGCCGCTAAGCTTGCCCTTGTTTTAGATGCCCGGTCCTTTCCATAGGAACTGCACCTGTTTTTTTCGGCACTAAATCCTTAACTCAAAAGACGTCGACGGTCTAAAGCGCTGGCAATAATTTGAAAATATTGAAAAGTGAAATTGAAATGGAGTGAGTAACTATTTCGGAGTTTAACGCGATATTTATACATCAAAACAGCAGGTGTCAATTGCCGTATTTCAGCCTAAAAAGGTGCCCCGTTCTTCACTTCAGTGTTGCTATATTTTTCTGGTACTTAGGGATAATTGAATCCAGCACTTTTAAGTGTTGAGAGTTGAATCTCGCTTAAGCCGGTGCTAGGGGTCCTGAGGGTTACTGCACTTTTTATTATCCATCATTTACAGACTCAATTAAACCGAGTCTGCAATTTTCATGATTTCTTTTGTTATTTAAATGTCTGGGGATCACTTCTTCCAGATATTTCATCACTTTTACGTCATATACTGATAGCCCATCTATTGTAGGATCTAAACAGGTTCTCTTAATCAGTTAATAGTGCACGATCTTATTTCCTACATCAAACAGAGGTGGACTATTGCTTGCCTTCGATATATTAAACATTATTCACTACTATTTTAATGCTGAGCGCCAAGTCTTGAGCTGTCAGTACCATTTTTTCATGTATTTGGTATCACATGGCTTAAACTAATAACCTACTTAAGTCGAAGAAGACGGTCTCCTTAAAGCCTTATGGAGGATATAAATTATATATGGAATATCAAAAATACACCAGCATAATGCTACAGTATAATGCGTCAGTAAGATAGACATTGATAAATTTTATTGTAATTTATCCATGGTTTGAAAGCTATATTTTACACCATGTCTAAATACAGTGTATATAAAGAATTTGGTGCAGATTTAGGGTAACTTGTTTATGATGTAAATACTTATGTAGTTTCATCATGCTTTCTTATTGTCTGGATCATTTATTTGGGTAGGATTTTTGCTTGCTTATAACACATAGATACAAGTTCTTCGAGTTACGTTATGAGACACCCGGACAATTACATTACTCTTTAAAAGAACATCCTAAAAGGCACTGAACACTATCGTTCAGAACTTTGTTTTCTTATCCGGCTTAAAATTATGCTTTCAACATTATTTGAAAAAAGTATAAGTGTATCACATGAAATACGGAATCCGGGCTTTAATTGTTTACTGAGAAGATGTACTTATTAAACAAATGCGAGTACATATGGCGGTCAGGGCTAGAGTAGATGGAGTAGAACCACAGGAATAATATTATTCAGGACAAAGACAATATCACGCAATACATACATAAATTATCGTTGACAGTGCTGGTGTTATCTGTTACTTGAAAAACGCGTCTATTATAAAATGTTAGATTATTCTGAGATTATCCCTTTATATAACTTGTCCTCGATCCTCAATCCCCGTTCCTCATTATAAGCCGCAAATGTCTAATAAGACAGTATCATTTAATATATACATAAAGCTATTTCGTCCTGGGTTGACACTTACACTTCAAATATGACCATAATGATTATTTTACATGTATCTCCTTTAAATAAGTAGGACAAAAGTCTTGTACAAATAACTCAACATTTTGGAATAACAAGACAATAATCAAAGCGCTGAAAGCACTTACAGTGGGATAGTTATTGCGGACATGTTAGCACAGAGTATAATTACGTTTAGGTCGTATCAAAACTTTACACTGAATACTTACCACATTCCGGTTCACTAAATGTCCATGTACCGTCACTCCTGCACGTGATATTATTAAGACCACTCAACGTGTATCCAACATCACAACTATACGCTACCATTGTCACGTGACCATCAGAAGTCATAGTTACGGAACCTCCTGTTGGTGACGCCAATGTCTGACATGGGTCTTAAATAAACAAAAAGTATAATTTGGATAAAAAATAAATAAATGAAAAAGAAAATAATGAAAGATGTGTCTATAAAGTTTGAATGAATAATATTCATTTCTGTTATAAATATGCGAAATATCGATATACGAAAAATATGTATTATATAATGAGTGTTTTTGTGTGTTCGACCTACCGCGTCTTCTCCTTCAAACGACACGGCAAAAATCAGCCTACAATACTTACTGCATACTGGATCGGATCCGGTCCAACGTGTTCCATCTTTTGCGCATGTCCGAGATATGGCACCATCTAACGAATATCCAACATCACACGTGTAATTTGCTGTTTCACCATTATCAGTCACTTGACCGTTTTGTATAGTTGACGGTGACTGACAAACTGCAATATAAATTTTATTAGAATAATTTTGAAAACATGTCATGTACTTGGCTGAATAAAACAATATTTACGCTACTTAGTCTAAAATTATGACTCTAGTTACCTCCCCTGGCATTCTGATCAGAAATGACTTTTTTTTTATTCTACAGCAAAATAACACATTATTTTATAACAGAGGTAAACACAAATCCCAAATCAAAATTTTACCAAAAGAATAAATTTATTTTCATTTTCCGGAATAAATCATAACTGATTTTACTAACTACATGTCGGAGCGTCTAAATCCCAAGAGCCGTCCGGCTGACATGTTCTTGTATTGGAGCCAACAAGATCATAGCCCGGGTAGCAAGAGTAGACTGCTATTGTCACCCTTCCAGTAGTTGTTGTCAAATAACTTCCGCTCTCAGGAGTTGGGAGTGCGTCGCATTGGACTGAAATATGAGCGATATAAATAAATTGGTTATACACTATTCAACCCCGACCAAACCCAACAAAGAAAGTCGACAATAGCAAAACAACTCCATTCGAATATGTCGTAAGAATAGAGCCTGACCTGACTCCATGGATAGAAATTGAAAGAGCATATCTTTGATTATACAAATACATATTCGCCCAGCCGTAAAACGATTGTTTATAAAACCCTTTATACATATAGTCGTCCAGGACAACCACTCGAAAAATCGTTGTCGCTAGCTATCATAATACTGTTCGGAATAAATAGTACTAGCCGACAAGACCGACATACCAGAAGTCTTGACCATTAAGCCATTGCTCCTAAATTTATTTACATGTACAAACAATTGCGTTCGATGACTTATGGAGAAAAGAAGTAACACCTCATTAAACTTGTTATTCGATAGCTCTTACCGCATACGGGAACGCTGTCCCAGTTTCCGGTGAACTGACAATACACTTTATATGCACCGCTCAGTGTGTAACCGCTTTCACAATAGTACACGGCATATGTCTGTGTTCCTGTAGTCGATAGTGTGTACAGACCACCTGTTGGGGTATATGCGGACTGGCATTGATCTGAAACGTAAATAAATAAAAACATGTCGTTGGATTTGTAAGAGCATACTGAACACGCAGGTAGGATTTTAATTATTGTATTTTTTCTATTTTTAAATGTATATTTTAAAGATATTCTTGCATTTACATTTGGCTTGTAATTTACCAAAGGCCTGACGGGGGCCAGTTCCCCGATAAAAACAACTTGTTTTTAAAACCCTTTATATAATGTAATGTTACACTCAACAAAGTACATACATAAAGAATTTGAACATTTAATGTGATAAACCTCTCATTAGGAAAGCAAACAATTGTAAGGTTGGTTACACAAAAGAAATTAGCTTGACGTTTTGCTGCCACTTAATAACACACAACGATGTACATTTACTGCTTTTAAATGTTTGTCAAAAAAATTTGTTTAAGACGTTCTGATATTTAATTCATAAAGACAAAAAAGAGACGCATGCAGTTGCACAGAGAAGACATGTGTAAGCATTAATTCTAACAACATAAGTCCATGGAACAAAATCCCTACACATCTGTGCCAACGTATGGACACACAAAAAGCGCCAGTGCCTCCTTTATTAGCTTGTTCTAGCTGGAGGAAAATAAAAAAAAATCTCCACTTACTACATTGTGGATCACTATCGCTCCACCCCGTACCGTCAGTATTACATATTCTGGAAGACAGTCCTAATATTGTTGTGCCATTTTTGCACGTGTAGTTTGCTGTCTTGCCATTAGCAAACACTGCTCCATTGGTAATGGTTGAAGGCGGGTGACAATCTGCATTGATAGATTAAAAGAAATTTTGAGTTTTACAAGTTTTAAAACAGAGTTTGATAAAACACGTGATGTGCTCTAAAACAAACAACTGAATACAACGGTCTAAGGTAAGGCATGGTTTATAAAATGTTCAGATTTAGATTTATTTGAAAGGTTCACAAAATAGACGTATTAAAGACATATTTAAAACACCAAAGAAATCTCAACACAACGTTACAAAATAAACGTATTATAGACTTTAATAAACGCCACAGAAAAGCTTCACACAACGTTACAAAATGTTCTTATTCAAGACTTATAAAATGCCACAGAATACTTCACACACCGTTTTAAAATAGACAGATGAAAGAAAATAGACATATGAAAGAAAATAGACATATGAAAGAAAAAAGAAATATGAAAGACTTATAAAACGCCTCAGAAAACTTCACACAACGTTACTAAATTAACGTAACCACACGCTACCTTTAATTACACACACAAGCAGAGTAAGTATTTATATCTATGTCCATTTCTCAAAGGTAACTGGGACAAGCAATTGCTTGAAATACGAATTATACTTCTGATATGAAACTGACAATACAACGTTTAATTGAAAGCTCATTTATGTTTTCATCCGTATTTATCTAAAACATTAATCATACGAAGAACATGAAGAAAAGAATAAAGTTGACAAAACAATAACGTACCACACTGGGGAGTCGTACCGTCCCAGGAGCCGTCGGCTTGGCAAGTCCTTTTGCTTGAACCAACCAAGTAGTAACCAGTGACACATGTGTAAAGGGCAGTGCTCGTGTAGCCATCGGTAGTTATGACAATGTTTCCACTAGACATATAATTCAATGTATCGCACTTTACTGAAACGAAAGGACGGTATGAAAATACAAATTATGGTTGTAGAACATCACAGTTCCCTCAGTAACGTTTAACATAGGAAGAAACACTTTTCTCGACAAAGTATAGAGGTATCACTATTCATGATGATGAAAACAGGGTCTTTCAAAAAGAACGGCCCTGATGAAAAAAAAAAACAACAAAAAACAAAAAAAAAATCATAATACTAGAAAAGAAAATGATAATTCGTTTAATACGCAAGTTTTGCTTGAGCTGTTCGAAAGTCAATATGACGATCTCTTTCAAACTTAAGATGAACCAAATCTATTTCACAGGAGTCATGTCATGGACATAATAAATTTGTATAGACCTTGTCAATCATGCAAACTACTAGTCTTTAATTTTCATGCTCGGATTTATCCCCAATAAAATTCCCATCCTTTGTTTATTAGCATTTGCATTTCTGGATACAAAGTCTTACCGCATAAAGGCTGGGACGGACTCCATGTTTTATCTTGCTTGCATATTCGTTCACTGTCCCCGACTAAATTATATCCCACTACGCAGCTGTAGTTCGCCGTTGTCGTCGCACCATCGGATGACAGAGTAAAGCTGCCACCAATCGGGTTACTCAATGGGAGACAAAACTCTGTTTAGAAGAAAACAAAACAAATCATATTAATATAAATGTATCGAGCGTAGATGAATATTTTACTGAAATATTTTCTTTTGTAGACACTTAAAGATCATTTTCATGGAAAGGTCTAGCTTTCAGCATATACAGCTTGTCTCAAAGATCAGAGCTAAGCCTTTCCCGATGCGTTGCTACTCATTGTAAGTAATATCATGACGTACTCAAATTTCAATATTTAAACGTGCTTCCAACATCCGGAATCCAATGTTGAGTTTTAGATAATCATATTTTGAAATTGATTTTTTCAATAGTGAAATACTCATAATACTGTATGTAGTACTCCTGCGGGTACCGAGTCCCCGTCAGTAGCGCGGTAATCTTGAACATGTGCTAATGTACTAATGTGCATACGTAGCGTCGTGTAAGAAACATGGAACACTGACCTAAAAAATTAATGCATTTGATCTTTTACTTAAATTTGATGGATACATGCACTTTTAATTAAAGGTGTATCAGGCATTATCAGTAAAATAAGTCAGTGAAACGAAGTCATTTTCGATCTTAGGAATTTATGTAACTTGGTATGTACCAAATTTATAAAGGTTCGTATGCACCGCGGTCCATAGGGCAACACCCTGCATTTAATTAATAAAGGGCCCTGAAGGCGTTCTTCGATTGCTCCAAGGTCAGTTATATGAAAATGTTCTTTCTATAGGATACCTAAACAATCTATATATATATATATATATATATATATATATATATATATATATATATATATATATATATATATATATATATATATATATATATATATATATATATATATATATATATATACATATTTAAAAGCAAAATTGCTTACAGTATGTAGTTTGAATAGAAACTGTCTTAATAATATTACAATAGACACACTATTCAAACTGCTAGAGAGCAAAGAAAGAGACAATGATTGATCAATTTAACAAACATTTATTAAATCAATTTCAATTACATAACTCATAAAATTTATATTTATTTACATATGAATATATATATATATATATATATTACAGTCATGTTATTATATCTTTTGAGCAAAATGTAGTATTGCATAATTATATGAACGTAGTTTTGGTCAACTATTGTCTAAGTACTTTCAAAGTAGCAAAACAGTAAAAATATGTTATGGCAAGTTCATACTGTACATGTTCATACTACATTGCAAAACTCTTTCAACTATTTTATCCGGAAAATTTTAATGTGCATTTTTTTAATCACACAATGTGTTATTCATAAAGCTATAAATTGTACACATATTAATCACATAACTGTTAATCATACATTCGTTTATCATATTGCTATTAATCGTACAACTGCCAATCACACATGTGTTAATCATGCAACTTTAAAAATAACATAATTGCCACTCATATATTTGTTAATTGTACAGCTGTTAATCGTATAACTGCCAATCACACACGTGTTAATCGTACAATAATGAAAATAACATAACTGCCAATCATACATTTTTAATCTAACAGCTGTTAATTGTATAACTGCCAATCACACACGTGTTAATCGTACAAATTTAAAAATAAAAAGAACTGTCAATCATACATTTGTTTATATTACCACTCTTAATTGTACAACTGTAATCACACATCTGTGATCGTACAACTATAAATTTTAATTACATAACTGTTTATCACATATTTGTTAATATAATAACACAAATGTTATCTCTTAAACTGTAAATCGCACAGCTGTTTATCTCATAACAGATTATTGTACACTGGATAAACTGCACTGCTGTTAATTGTAAAGCTGTTAACCGCGAAACTCACTTTTTTACCGCAAAACATCTACTCTACCAAATAAAGCAATCACATTTGTTAAATTTACGCACATGAATAAATTAACTTTGTGCAGCACAAAATTAGTTATGTGACTTCATGTCAGGATAATCACAAATTGGTTATGTGACTTTACCTCAGTATAATCACAAGTTGCTTATGTGATTTCATGTCAGGATAATGTCACATACTTTTGTATACATGTTTTAATATCTATTTTGTTAAATTAAAAAACCCATATTTTATATACGTGAATATGTACATAAAGTTAGATACATTTAGAATAATTACAGTACACAAATCAAAAGCGTGATGCTTACTCTCTTAATGACATGTATACAGAAGTCAGTGTACATGCACTTTTAAGTTCTAAGCTAGTGTATAAACAATGTACTAAATAACTTTGAAATGAGGTTCATAAATACAAACAATCATTTAACACTATCTACGCCAAAAATATTTTCTTTTGCCTCTTTTTTCCTTGCTTTTACTTTCTTTTTCTTTGTACTCAATACACTTTCTCTTCCGGTTTCCAATTCATACGAATACTGTGGCTGAATATAATTAAAGTCCGCCGCATGTAACAAGTCAGGAGTTTTTGTCCTCAAATAATCCAAATCGTTCGCGGCATCTTTATCGTCCACTTTTCTTGTTTCACGAGCGCGCCTTGCCGGTTTACTTGGCCTTGACCTCTTGCCTCTCTTCTCAGTGATCACGTGACTAATGGGAGGCAATTGAACTCTTCCGTTTTGTTTCTTTCTGTCTGGGAGGGCAGGCGGGATATTACTGTCGGCAAAAATAATGCTTGTTGTTGTCAATGAGGAGGAAGGTCGAGTTTCCTTGGTGTTGTATTTCTTTAGTAATGTTTGCTTTTCGTTAGTTGGTGGCGGAGCAGGCAACTGTTCTGGCGGAACTTTTTCTGTAAACAGTAAAGATGATTAAAACAATAATGGTTTCATTCTGTAAGATGGCACACGATTTAAACTAGTGAAATAATCACATACGGTATTTAGATCGGCAAATATAGGAAGTATTTAACGTAAAAATATCAAACAACATCAAAAGACATTGTAAACTTCAACCTTAGACAATCTTTCAAAATTAAGCAAAGAGCTTAATAGGAGTAAATGCTACCATACCGATGCTATTTTATTATTACTAACATATCTTTTAGAAAAAAATTATGAAACAAGTTCTTGCATTTTTTTCTTTTCCGTGTTTGATACCTTTAATCATGGAACCATTAAAATACATAATCTCGATCATAGCTCGAACCCGCCATCCCTGATTGAGTGGGAAATACATTAGCCATCAGTCCGCCGCTTTATTATTCCGTAATAACGGAACTTACGCATGAATTAAGGGAAATAATTGCGATACATTTTAAGTAAATTTATCTCATTTTTGAAAAAGGCAAGATGGATTCAGATCCACGTGGCGTACCTTTAGGCTCATCCGGGAATATTTTCGCCTCTGAACCTTTCTTTAAGAGCCGGCAATGACGGTATAAGAGTCCGAGTAACAATACGACAACAACAGCAAATAGCAAGATGATAACAAGCATGGCGGCAATAGGGACACGCCAGGTGGCGCCATTGGACTTGGTTTCCGGTTCAACGGTTTCTAAAAATAGAAATAAAATTATTAGATGTAGGTGTAAATCATTAAAAAATAATGTTCTTAGGAAATGCAACATAACTTCTTATTGTGTAGCACCTTTATGTAGAGATGTTTCCTTTTTCTCGAAATTAAAAGATTTGTATCTTATGGTACTAAAAATATTTTAAAATGAAAATGCACATTTTTCACGTGCAATAATGTACTATTACACAGATATATGCGTGCTGAAAAACAGGATATCAGTTACAAAATGTTAATTTAATTCCACAGCAATCGGTATTATTCATTCAAATTTGCGCTAACTAGTACAATGTAATTAAAAGGAAATTAAACTTAAATTATGCAAGTAAGCAAATGTATATCAGAAGAACAAAATTGGTAACTTACGCGAACTATTAAAATCCAAGCTTCAACTGCCGCTTCTATTTTATGTAATAGTGAAACGTCAAGGATAAAACACGACACTTTTAAAATCAGTAAAATATAAATTTATGAAAACGACTTATTTGCAACAATAATCTTATATAGTTCGTTGGCATCCGAAAGGCTTTGTCTTTAATTGCGTTTATAGCTAATTAGCGCAAAATGTGCAAATTTTATATTTTTCAAGGTTAATGCAGTTGGTGCAATGACAATTTCAACGCTTTAATGTCCATTCTGTAAAAGGACATAAAACATTACTAGTATCAAATAAAAATAATGAATCCAATGGTAAACAGTTTTGCCAAAACATATTTTTTCAGAAAAGTTTTGCTTCTTTTTACTCTATTGTTATCAAGACTAAGTCATGAATAGTAAATTATTTATGCAATGCAAAATACATCAACACACAGAGTGAAACACACGTATGAATTGAACACGTGATATCAAAACATATATATAATTGTCATTCGTATATAACTCATACCACAGACTGGAGAAATTCCGTCCCATCCCGTTCCGTCATTCTGGCAGGTTCTTGTCTCAGACCCAACCAACACGTAACCGGCATTACATGTATACGTCACCATCAGTAAGTCGGCAGATATGTTGAATTGTCCGTTGGCGACAAGTGGTGGTGATTGACAAACTAGATGTGAAAAATTTATAATTCTGAAATCTGATTTTTTTTGTTCTGTATCTGTTTGGTTTTACGGCGCGCCAACACAAAATAGGTCAAATGGCATCGAAACACGACATATGATTTGGTTAACCTTCGACATTTAAACATGAAAACTATGCTGCTTTTGTTTCACATGAAATTCCTTTTTTTGAGTAAAAGAATATATAGTTAACTAATTCTTATCAACGATATATGTCTATATTATTATCACCACCAATATTGATTAAATAATTCAGAAATAAAATGCGTAGATAATTGCAAGCATATCCTTATACCAAATATATAGCATGCTGTATGATACATGATTCGAAAGTGTGTCTATAAGCTTATAGCTTCCTACACAATCGAACTGGGATAAACACTGTATAAACTGAATTGTATTTTATAGACATAGTTTAATGCTTTTACATAAACCATTCATTTCTTACTTTTTTACACATTGTCGAGGCCATGTTGAACCATAAGTTCTGCTGGATATTTAAGATTAGGCTGGTTTTTCATAAATTCTCTGAAGTAGTAAATATTTGTGCACATATTTCTAGTATTGCTTAGTTTATACAGAATTTATTTAGTTCAATTTGTAGGAACCTAAAAGCTTATAGGCACACTTTCGAATCCGTGTTCCTGTAACCAACCAGTACTGAACAATGTTTCTTGCTCAAGGAAACGACGGCTTGCCCCTGACGGGGTCTTGAACCCACACTGCCTGCGACCCATAGGTTTATAGTCTAACGACTTAATCACTCAAACTCTCAACTCAAAATAATAAACTGCAGAAATGATGTATTGCCCGGTTAATTTACTCGAGGTGTATTAATACTTACTACAGAACGGTGCCGGCAGGTCCCAGTGCCCGGATGACAGGCACGTTAAAACGCTTGTAGAATTGATAGTGTAGCCGAATACGCATGAGAACTCCGCGGATGTTGTCAAACCATTAGACGACAGGGACACAGAACCGCTGTTTGGGTCACTCAATGTCGGGCACTGAACTGTAAAAAAATGCAACAATAAGATGTCATCGGACAGATAAAAACAAAACCACTTTCAAATACAAACAATTTAGCCCTGGCTTCATCTGCTGGTTAGCTTTTGCCACAAGTGCAGTCAATCAAGGCTCTATAATGCTGGTAGCTCTGTATCACTGTAAGGAAACCCCTATATCATTGAATGGACTGTTCTAAATTCAAAGAAGGGAAAATCCATTACACAAATTTATCAAATCAAAATTTAGCAGATTTCAAGTTTATATGACCGAGAGACAAATAAAATTACGAAGAATTCGAAATGATAATTTAAGTTTACCACAAGAGGGTTGGTTCGATTCCCAAGAACCGTCATCGTTGCATACAATCTGCTTTTTACCATCTATTGTCGTCCCTACTGCGCATGCGTAATCAGCAGTAGTTTGGATACCATCTGTACTATAACTAATCGACCCAGATAAAGGGGTAGTCAGTGTTTGACACAATGCTGAAGATATTAAAAAAAATCTAACTATAGCATATATATAAAAAATTCTTATGATAGCTAAATAGACATATTTTAATTCGATAAAGTACAAAATTGGAACTTTCAAAATTTGATCGAGATAACCGAAAATCGAGAAAAGCGATGTCGAGATTGCGAAAGTTGACTGTATATGATAAAGGGTACATTTCTATACAGTTATGATCAGTTAGTCATACAGAGAATCGTTATGAAACTGTGATGTTCCCATAGAATATACGTTAATGTGACAACGTTATTTAAAATCTGGGTTTTCCTATTTACCTCAATGGGCAGGGTATGTATGAACATTTGGTAAAAAGCTACCACACAATGACTCAAAAGTATAATGCACTTTGCGTTTTTTTGATGATTTTTAAAATCTTTATTTGTCATTCAAAGGGGCCGCCATAAGTAATACATATTAATATTGATGCTCGTGGGCTTTCAGTTCTTGTTGACTTAAGTATAATTGTCAAGACTTCAACCATTTTCATTGACATTGAACACATCACTGGATTTTTTTTAAATTGTGAATGGATTGTAAGAGAGGATATAAAGCAAATGCTTTAATTTTGAAAATTATTTTAAAAAGAAACTTTGTTGCAGCATGCAAGCCCCATCTTAATAAACATTTCCTTACACAGATATCTAAGGTATATTACATGTTCTGTACTTCTACACATGAAATTTTAAACCATACGTACTGCACACTGGGTCCGGGCCTTCCCAACCCGTACCGTCATCCTGGCAGGTTCTATCTGAGAGTCCGGTAAGTGTATATCCCGTATCACACCGGTATGTAGCCACCGTCCCAGTACCGGAAAGAGAAACCTGACCATTAGTGGGCTGTGGTGGGAAATCACATTCTGTAAAAAGAAAAGAATCAATGTATGTAATAATATTACAGATGGTTACTGGGAAAAGGGAAAGAAAAAGAATTTAGTCATAGAAGATAAAGATTTCACTACATCCTTCAAATTCAGAAAATTTATAAATTCAAATTTTACATTTTCTAGGACGAAATGTCAATGCTGATGTACATCTGCAGATAAAAATGCTTAAGATATGTTCTATCAAACTTAAAAATAATATAAATTTTTATTTTCACAAGCTCTGTGAAAGAAGGCACTGGCGACATAGTTGAGCCATATTTTGATTCTTGTGTTGGTAATTCTTACAGTTATAGGGATGTCAAAGCACGTATTTGTTTTCATTTGCTCCCTTTATCTATTCAACGCTAGCTATTTTCTTAAGGCGATAATGGTTTAATGGCGAAGTTTTAGCACCACCAATTATTTCAGGCACCAAAGACAAGAATAGCTCAAAATCCAAACATCAGAGGGATATGCTTGAAAAGAAGTATTGTCACATCTTGATTATGTCCAATATGACTGACCAATTTTAGACGAAAAAAAAGTATCATATCTTACTGCAAGAGGGGGCATCATCATTCCACGTGCCATCAGTGCCACAAGTTAGCGAAAATTTCCCTTTCAGGTAATATCCTGGGAGACAGGAGAAACTTGCCGTCGTTAAAGAGCCCGTGCTCGTCAACGTCAAAGATCCGCTGTCAGGTTCTGATAACTCCGGACACTTTTCTGTCATAGGAAGAAAATTCATGACATTTTTAAATAAATCACTTTATACTTAGATATAAAAAAATCTTGTTGTATAATATTTTCTGTATATATTGACAGAAATACAATGTATGTAAGACCACGGAATCAGGCTAATAGTAATTCTGCCAATTAAGTAATACTCGCAAATATATACAATTTCATTACATACTAAAACTACATGTGTCATAAGGTCATATTGTGACTTTCTAGTTTGGAGGAAGACCTTATGCGCCCTTTTCCCATTATTACAGGCACAAACAGGTATCTGGGCAGATTGATGTTTGCAAAGCCAAATGCGTCTGGCAGTGGCGAGGGGCTAGCGATTTAAAACTTTACTTATAACAATAAGACAAATTAGATGTAATTCTCATTACAAAGAAAACAAAAATATTTTATTTAGAATGGCATAGTATTGTTGTACTGGTTCAGGGGTTAATCTTTGTATAAACATGGCATATTACCACATGATGGCTGTGTAAAGTCCCAGGATCCATCACTCCGGCATGTTATTATACTGACACCGTTTAGTGTGTATCCGGTATTACACGTGTAGGCTACCTGTGTATTAACACCGTTTGTGCTAACTGTCACAGTTCCTCCCGACGGTGTTGACAATGTGTCACATGTACCTGTCGTATACAAAACGGAATATTGAATATCGTATTTAGGTAATATCTAAATTCATATTATATCTTAGTATAGGCCGATAAGCATTGTCAATACCAAGTGCTTTGAACCGTGTCCTCTGAATTTTTATGACTTCTTTTTCAATAGGCAAACAATTTCAGGAGAGCGATGGTCTTATGATTAAGATATTTGCCGCTTAACCTAGGGATCGTGGGTTCGAGTCATACGTACAGAGTTCATGACCATATTTCCTCATATGGCCCCAGTACTGGTTACTTTCATGAAGGAGGCTCAGGAGTGGTTCAGATAAGCAAATTTTCATCACAATCGAAGTATGATGAATACAAATGTTTAAATAAACTATTTATTAGGCGGGAAATAAGTTTTTAATCTTAATGTTTTAAAAAGTATAACTTTGTCTAAAATTATCTGACTTTTGTTTTTGTTTTGAAAATTGATCTAGAATTTACTTGTTTGGAACAGGGTCTTTCAAATAGAATTTCTATTTCTATTTGGAAGACCCTGTTTGGAATGAGTGACATAAGCAGGAGTGTTACACTTCTTTTGTCAATCAGAAGAGTTTACAGTCGAAAATATATAGCAGCTTTTACTGTATGAAAAAAAAACCTGAATGAAAAACATTTATAAAAAAGAGTAAAACTGTTTGCTCACTACAAGTTGGAGCTGTTCCACTCCACCCTGTACCATCATCTCCACATGTCCTAGTTGAGGCACCGTTCATAGAGTAACCTTGATTACACGTGTAGGTTGCAGTTGCACCGTCAGCGGTCACTAGACCATTTAGAGGATCTGCAGGGGTCTCGCACGCTTTCATGGAAAAGATGTCAATGTTTGCATGGTTGGCACGGTAAAGACAGCTAGTCAGTTTATTAGCATGTCATTTATAATTGTAAGCAAACTTAGAAATGGCTTATATATCACTTCAAATTTAATTACGAATATGTAACGAACGTTCTTAATAAAAGAAACATAACGGGAAGACAATAATTGGTCATTTTTGAACTGAACAGTACATAACTTCGCGAAGATATAACTATGTTATCAAAAATCAATTATCAAGTATTTCATACAAATAATCTATGAAGATTTTTTTTATTTTGTCCATAAATTCATGAATCATAAATTACAAATGGTTGACATACTGCATGTGGGTTCTGACATACTCCATGTACCGTCAGAGTTACACATCCTTTCTTCATCCCCGTTCAAATTATAGCCAGCGTCGCACGTGTACGTCGCTTTGGTCTGAGTACCGGATGTTGACAACGTTACAGTGCCGCTTGATGGCTCATCCAACGACGGACACAAAACTGAAAATAGAGCAGTTCTTACATTTCTATACACGTTAATTTAGAAAATTTCGGAATTTCATACAATTCTGAATTTGATAATGAATAAAAAATAATATATAATAAAGCCGTGCAGGATGGGTCCTCAGTCGCTTTTCAAAGTAAAAATAATGGAGTAAAGCAGTCTGTGCAAGCAGAAACAAAATGTACCATTTAATACTGTGTAGCAATGACTCATTGTGATTTTTGAGAAGTTTTTAAGGATTTTTTTTTTCAGTTTACATGTATATCCCTCGTGTCAGTTTACGTTGGAGACGGTTAAAATTAAATGCTGCTTTTGGCCGCCATGTTAGGATGTGACATAGCAGTAAGAAGCGTAAGAGAATTTGCAGACCGTACAATTAAATGGGCAGAAAACCGTTCAACCGTCGACAGCTTTACTAGTATATACATGTCGGCGTAAAAACATAATTGACGGACGGGAAGTATTTATCTATTTTTAACATATCTCAACTTTGTTCGAGTAAATCAATGATATGGATTCGTAGTCAACATCAAAAGGAGCATGCTATTAAATTCCTGACCCTGTTCAAGCTTTACTTTACGTGAATTTTGACTGTAAATAACCACACATTCCGATAAGATGCGGCAATTTTTATAAAAAGTCTCACAAACTTAAATTTTCTCACGATAATAAATCATTTGAAGAAACAATTCGTAATAGGCAACATTTCGTCACTAAATATTCCAAACCATACCTTCAGAAATCCTTTTTTTAAGATGTAGGGTTTAAAGTTGGAATGTCATCAGCAGTTCGCCCCTTATGAATGATGTCATCGATAATAATAACGTTTCTTTTTTTTTTAAGTGAACTTGCATTAAATTTTAACAGATCGTGAAAATTACAAAGTTTACGTGAATAGCTTTACTTAATTATAATTATATACTTACTCTCAAGTTATCTGCACTTATCTTCGGCTAGCGAACGTGAACACTTACGACGGGATATAAAAAATAGTTAAGGAGTGTGTCGACTCCATTTAGTATTTTTGTAAACAAAAATTACCAGTGACAAGCAAGAAATTGAAATATCCTTCCGACTTATATAGATAGCAGAGGTAGGTATAATATTGCGTGCAGAAATCGTGCAAAAGAATAGACTGAATAAAACTAATAAAACGCCATATCAATATCATGTACACGTGGTAAACTAACATCAAACCTTTAACAGTAGAAATTTGAAAAAAAACACGTTCTACAGTAAATAAGCAAACGGACTGATGTGTATATATTTTAATTAACTTTTCGTATCAATATAACAATATATTCATCAAATAGCACTTCTAATTTCAACAACACAAAAAAGCAAAAACTTAAATATTAACGTTTTAGCAACATAGTCTTAACACCGCAGTGATAAAATCAAAGCACAGAAGGCGCTGAACTTGTTTGGGTCTCAGAATTGTCAGAAAGGTGAAGGTTGTGAGATTATAAACCATTTTGTTTTTGTATAGTGCCACCACTGCATTCCAGCGTTTTAATTGTAGTAAATTGGCTATAAGACTAATTGTGACACTGATGTTCAATTCAATGTTTATTTGAATTAAACAATTAGACAAAAAAAATAAGTTGCTTTAACTGGGATTTAAACTCCGGACCTCTCGCTTCTTAAGCGAGCGCGCAAACCCCTCGGCCTCGGTGAAGTTTTATGTTAACGGCCTGAAGAAAACCATATTATTCTAAATTAGGGTTTGTAACGACGCTAACTGTTGTTTAACACAGATGTAAATAATCATGGAGCTTACTATAAGCATGTATATCTATAAAGAATAAAACAATATTAGAAATCATCGACCATTCGGGAACTATTTTGCTTGAAAATTAATGCGCCTGTCATTAATTTTGACTATCTTTACGGAGTGATCTCCCCTGAATTTTTCGGCGTTAGTGTACATATAAAGGGAAGTAACCGCTTCAAAAGCGGACTACTTTCGGCATTTGCAATTAACAGCATCAGAGTCTGAACTTTCGCTACCATTATTTGTTTGGTCTGACGATCCAAACAATTAAAAATCATGTTCTGTTCGATCTTCGGGAAAAGGGATGTGGTGGGGAGGGATACATATGGATATAACATACTGAGGATGCTATAGAAAAGATATAATTGTAAGTATATTCATTTCGAAGCTCATAGGCGACCAAAACTCTCTTGCATATAAGTTGCAAAAACAATTATTGGAACAAAAGGGTACTTTAGTATCCTGTAATGAGAATTTCTTACATTCTCGACATCTATGCTGTGAAGCACGAAAAATTGTCTATGCGACAACTGTAGCGGTTAAGATGTATTATCGGCAAGTTTATCCCTCCTGAAAACCGGAAGCAGCCGATGTCAGTTTTGATTTAGAGTATCCCCTTTGGTAAACTGTAACGGCCAATGTCGAAATTTAGCATACCAGTCTTAAATGAGCTAGATGAATATCTTATTCACATAAATGCATGCAACGTCCTTGTCGAGATTCGGACTGGCAGCAACGTGAGATGGTGTATAATTTAAATAAGTTTCAAATTTATAAGTACAAATAGACTGGACTAAGAAAACAAATGAATTTGAATAACAATAAATAAAATCATCGTCTATCGTCCATTGTGACTAAACAAAACATATTTTAGTTTTGTAAATTGAAATGTGTTACAAATGTTCCATTTTTATTTACATAACTTGAACCGTCTTTCAGATTTTCACTTTTTCTACTAAGAACAGTGTTTCTTCCAGATTCCGATTCAAGTTCATACGAATAAACTGGTTGAATATATGTGAAATCGACCGTAGATAACAGTTCGGGTGTCTTTATCCCGTCCATACTAATCTCCCGTTTTCTTTCTTTTACCGGAGTTTTAGCCCTTGGTTCCTTGCGATTTTGGACTCCGTGTTTCGTTGTACCAGTCGCCCTTTTTCTGGGTGTCCTCTTACCCGCTCTTACCGTGTTTTCTAAAGATGTCGCCACGTCCTTAGCAAAAGTGACAGATGACTTTGGTCTATGTTCATGTCTTTTGTTCTTCCGTACTAGAGAGTCTTTATCCCCGGCGTTGGAATCAAGTTCGTATGGATATACCGGTTTAATGTAACTAAAGTCTACAGTAGACAACAGTTCAGGAGTCATAACTCTCTCAATACCAACATCTTTCATTCTTTCTATTACCGGAGTTCTCGCTCTTGGTTCTCGTCGACTATTAGTTTTATTTAACCTAGCATTCTGCTTCTTCCCAGGTGAAATCCCACCAATCGTTTTCTTTTTTCTTTTCTCTGTTATAAGGTGACCTATCGGGGGTAACTGCACTTTACCACCGGGTGATTTTTTCTCTGTAATTTCTGGGACTGTTGTCGTTTGGTCATTGGCAAACGTGATTGTATCAGCAGACGATGGTCTTGAGTCAATCTTTGAGAACGACGCTTTTTTGTTGTCAGGTTTTGTTACAGTAAATCCGTCTGGATGTTTGTCTTCAGGTACTGAAATATCAAGACTTCAAACAATTCTCGTTGCTTACAGTGACGCTTCTCAAAATAAAAAAATGAACGTTAATAAAGATGTACTAAGGATATAGTAACAGAATCTCTAAATAGTTATTATAAGTCAGATACAACCTACTGTACTTTCATATGATTGCCTTTTTTCACTACATTATTTAAAGGCCAGTTTTATTAAAGCAGAAGTTATACACATGTTCATTATATGGCAGGCCTTTTATTTTTTTAAGGACGAATCATTATTCCGTAACCCAGTCATCTAACTCCTTCTTAGTGTGTTGGAAGATAGTAAAAGACATTTAAATCGAATTCAAATACTAAAACACAAAACTATGGAAATACTTTTATATTTTTCATAGGGAAAGTTAAATTTCACCTTTGGAATTTTCTGTCTCTCTTGAAGATGCAGACGACACCCTTGAATCGTTTTTTCCTTTCTTCCGACAATGTAAATGCACGGACACAGCCAGCAATACAGACAGGATTATTACTATCAATATGAGAACAACAAATGCTGCGATCGGAATGGACAAACTGGCCTCTTCAGTAGAGGCGCCCGTGTCTGGATCTGTAGCATCTAAAATAATTAAAACGATAATACGTGTATACAAAGAGCACGAAAAATAGCAGTAAAATATTGATATGGACTTTTTTAGTATTGATATTTGCTTTTATGTATTTTTATTAATGTTGAGAATATGCTGAAATAATATATCATTTATAAAGCGTCATTTGAACCCATATTCGGCTGAAACCAACAGTGACAGGATATGACGCTAAATTTCCATAAAACCTGGTAATGGACAGTTCCAAATTGCAAGCTGGACCTGTCCATTACTGTAATTCAGCAGATTACGGGTGAAGCGGCTTACAATATCACATTAAAACTAAACACAACTTTAGAAAGTTTGCAGTGTATTGAACATACACTCTAAAACCCGAATTTGCACAAATATGAAGAAATAATATGCAGATTACAAAAAAAAAACAGCAGAAGGTCAAATTTTCACACGGAGGATTGAAAAAAATGGATTTTCTTCATATTTGCGCTAATTAGGTTAATACAATAGTTTTATTGTATTAGTAAATGAAAAATAGTTTGAAAGAACACTTACATTATGAATGCAAATCAATGGTGCAACACACTTTTTCCATTAAAATGTCGCTGTCAATGGTTCCTTACGATTTTTTTTTAAAAATCCGCGCATCTATTTATAGAAACACGTTCTTGTCACAAACGTTATCGGCTAATTAGCGCAAAATATGGACAGTTTCACAAACACACATTATTTTCATAATTTCAGAAAAACGAAAATAAGAGAAGAAAAATGACAGAAAATCCATGGCAAACTGCACACACTAAATAATTGCGCCCTAGAAAGAAAATTACACACCACAGACTGGACTAATGCCGTCCCATCCCGTCCCGTCATCTTGACAGGTTCTCGTCGCAGAACCAACCAGAACATATCCAACGTGACAAGTGTAAGTTACGGTTCTAAAATCATCTGATAAGTTAACTTCTCCATTAGTAAGTGCAGAAGGAGGTACACAAACTGGAAAGAGAAAAGGAATTATGACATTATCTACAGATGTTAATATAAAAAATGCAAAGCCTAAAAGCTTGACAGAAATCATAGAACATTTTAATTTAAACCCACATTTTATGTTTTCAATACACTTTGAATTGCATACTTTCGGCCGAACAATTCACTCAAAAGCAACCACATATACGACCATTTCACGTTTTATATGATTTCAATCAGAATTCCTCGGCTTTTATCATTATATTGTAATTCGAAAAGTTGCGATGTGTCGATTTCCCATAATTTTGCAGAACTTCCGGCGAAAGTTTTTAAAACCATCACTATCTAGCAGGTACTTGGGTTACCTCGAGTTCGCTATTATTTATATCATATATCATAACATAATGTTTTCCGAAGCGTATCCCGCTATTTTGTGATAAGCAGATATGTAATTGCTTAGGGTGTAGTTTCAAAACTACATTACATTTTCACCGTAATGTTACGGTTCCGTGCATCGGTCATATAGGTATAAGAATACTTACTGCAATAGGGTGTTGGGTAGTCCCAGGTCCCCGCAGATGTACATGTAAGTACACTTGTAGAGTTCAGTGTATATCCCGTTCCGCACGAGAAAGTCGCAATAGTTGACGAAGAGCTAGTTGACAGCACCACTGTGCCCGACCCTGGAGCATTAGGAGTTGGACAGCCAACTGTTGAAACATGAATAAAAAATAAGCTTATCTCAAGTCTATATACATGTATGGAATTGCTTACTAAAAAAAACAACAACAAAGCAATATTACAAAAGTTGAGGGTCATGAATAGAAAGAAAAACTTTAATGAACCTTTTTATAAACATCATGTAGATACAACTTAAACACGAAGAACGATTATTAAATTAACTTTGTAAAAGTGATATGAAACAGCTGTTACGTTCTTAAAACATTCTTCATAAATGAAATATATCCAAACACTTCAAAAACAAAAGCACCACCACAAAATGACATGATATTTAAGTTATGAACGTAAATAGCACGTGTAGTTGAACTACTTAAGAACAATTCCCAGACTACAACTCACCACATGTTGGCGGTGCAGCCTCCCACGAACCATCATCCATACAAACTTGCACGTTAACACCGCTTAACGTTGTGCCCACGTCACATGTATACCTCACTGACGTATGCGTTCCATTTGAACTTAAACTGAACAAGCCAGACGCCGGATTTGTTACTGTTTGACATACATCTAAAAACAGGCAGAATAATTTAAACATTAGAGCAAGAAGTTTGAAATGTTATTGAACATTTTAAACAGTACATTGTTTTTTGTTAAGAAATATGAAAAAATCTGCAAACCATAAAATAATTAACTTCTTGTACAAAGAGACAAGACAACTGAAACAAACATGATATCCATTTTAAAAAAGGAGATATGAATGAAAATAAGTAAGAGAATTTGTCAAGTAGTTTGAAAGAAACTTCTTTTTTCATTAGGTTTAAGTGGTAGTTCTAGATATTTCTAATATAACTTACTACATGTCGGGTCCGTGCTTTCCCAGCCACTACCGTCCGTCTGACAGGTTCTTGCAGACAGTCCACTAAGGGAGTATCCGGTATCACACGAGTATGTTGCTACCGAACCAGTCCCGGATACTGACACCTCTCCGTTGCTAGGTTGAGCAGGAAAATTACACTCTGTTAAATGTATACAGATTGGGTTATTCTAATATAATGTAAAATCATAAAGCGCTCAAGTTCAAATTTCCATGTGTATTATCAATAAGTTCAACAAAAGTTGTTCGGATAATAATTAAATCTGATATTGTCTAAAACCAGCACCTTTCAATAGAGGTCACACTCATAGGTCAAACTTGAATGTCACAAAAATTTCAGAAAGTGCATGAAGTGACTCATACATTTTCATTTATGTTGCGACATAAAGTAGTCCGTCCGAACTATTTTGTTAATATGGAATTAATAAGAATACTCACTACAAGTCGGAGCATCACTGCTCCACGCGCCGTCAGTACCACAAGTCAGAGTAAAATCTCCACTAAGATAATATCCTGTTTGACAGGTAAATGTAGCTGTGGTAACGGAACCTGTTGTTGTCACTATAAGTGTACCACTATCCGGATCAGGCAAATCCGGACATTTTGCTGTAAATATATTTAAAAAAGTTATGATGAAAAATCTTATGCAAAACTTTCTAATTTTTGTATCCAATTATTTTTTTAAACTCTCCTCTCCGTTTTTCTAATAGTTTTACAAGTTAATCGAATGAAAAAACAAAACAAAAAAAACATATATGATATAATTCACATATTATAAACACATCCCAAACAATTCTTGCAAGTGACAATATTTTCAGGTAATAAACAATGCAGATAGTTTGTAGTAAGCGTATTTTATCATAAATAGTTTGTTTTGTTTTTGTCTGTATAAAGTAAATATTGAATTTTTTTCCGCTCGACAAAATAGACATTTCTGAAGCCAATTGAATGTAAGCACATAACATAAGCTCAGTAACACGACCAAGGAAGAGTTAAACGTCGATTTACTTACAGCACGTTGGTGCAGTAAAGTCCCATGATCCATCACTCCTGCACGTGATAGGTGACATACCATTTAACGTGTACCCGCTGAAACACGTGTATGTTGCTTGCGTGTTTATACCATTCGAACTTATTGCTACAGTGCCGCCCATATGTGTGGACAGAGTCGAACAGATGTCTGAAACGGATTGAAAATGAAGACATTATTTACAGTTTGTAATTTAATTCGACATGCTTAAATACGGAGAAAATCTGTTTTACAACGTATAACATGTATGTATCTTTCTTATTTTTAATGACAGATACCCATTTGCTAAATATATTGAATACTTCTCGTACATTGTTTAAATTAATGTAATGCAATTAAATAAGTATTTTGTATTCGTGAAATATACTCATTCTTGAACAATAAAGCAATAGTTTCTTGTTTTTAGGGAAATATGTCTAATATTGTTCACCACGCAGAAGCCTACACACTGGTTTCTAGATTCGTACATGGAGACATTTCAATTCTATATTTAGGTAACTCGACAAAAACATGGCGGATAGCGTGCCCCGTAGGCGCCCGTTTGGAGGTCTTTTGTCGTCCATCTTGTTATCACGTGTTAGGAAATTCAACATTATGATTGGTTTAAGACAGGCGGTGTATGGGTAGAAATGAACAAAATTTACTAAATGTATATATCGCCGTCTAGGAACAGCGACAAGGAATCGGAAATTATAATTACTACAAGTAGGATCTGCTCCACCCCAACCGGTGCCATCTGTGTTACATATCCGTGTAGATAATCCTGATAACGAGAATCCCTGGTTACAAGTGTATGTGGCCGTTGACCCATCATCCGTTACCAGGCCATTTAATGGAGGAACTGGCGATTTACATGCTGAAAGTAAATCAGAGATATTTTGGATGACCTTTAGTTTATTAGACAAATATTTTTAATATACCTCCACAAAATAATTATTAAAATAATGTGTGTTAATTTTAAGTTCGCAGATGAAAATTAACTTTGTTCAAAAAAGATTTTCGTCATGGAGATCTTTATGATAAAAATATGACAGCCGGCAAGCGAAAAATGCAGATTATTTGTATATTTGTTAGAAATAGATTAATAAAATGACATCATGAATAAGTTTCAAAGATCAAACAAAAAAATGCAGATTATTTGTATATTTGTTAGAAATAGATTAATAAAATGACATCATGAATAAGTTTCAAAGATCAAACATTTTGCAGCGAAAATATAGTGTGCTTATATTTATTTAATTTGACTATTTACATTACATTTAGTCTACATAATAGATAAATGTTACATACAACAAGTTGGTTCCATCAGACTCCAAGTTCCATCCATATTACATAATCGTACAGTATTTCCGTTTAAATTGTACCCTGATGCGCATGCGTATGTTGCAGATGTTTTCGTACCGGATGAAGATAATGTTACTGTTCCGCTTGATGGATTGGTCAGTTCTGGGCACTCCACTGAAAAATTTATTGTTAACACGTCAGTCAATTTTAATTATGATAACGAACCATTTTAAGCAATTTCTTTTATTACAAGGGAAACAACTGTGTGAATTGAAATGACCTCTTTGGTACACATGTACTATTTGTCTCTCCTGCTAAACTCAGAAGTTCCAACCTATATATTTTTTTATTGCTAAAATGGTATATTGACTAACTAAAGCTAAGATTCATCTTACAAGATACTGAAAACTTCCGTTTTTATGTTTTACATGTGCATAACAACACATTTGAGATAAGCTTGTGTGATAAATCTTTATATATTTGTTTAAACTTTATTGAGCGCTTTGAGTCATTACTTATAGATCTATAAAAATGTAAATAAATAAAGATATGCGCTTACTGCACGTGGGTGGTGAACTGCTCCATGAGCCGTCTGATTGGCAAGTTATTGTAGTAACACCATCCAAAGTATATCCTGTCTGACATAAATATTTAGCGGAAGTAACCGTACCAGTTGTTGACGTACTGAATGACCCGCCAGTTACAGACGACAGAGAAGTACACTGAGCTGTAATATCAAATATATTCATGGTCAAAATAAACTTCTTAGGATGAAGAGATCTATGGTGTAAATAGATATTGATATTATGGAACACCGTGACTGTCTTATGCTATCAATATTTTTGCTATCTTCTGAAATGATGATATTATTTTGTCATTTAAGCATATAAACATGTGCAATGTACATCATATCTTGTCTACAGACAATGCTGACTTGTTCAAACAGCATGTAAACTTGTCAAATAATCATTATGACATGTGCAGACGACATGTTAACTTGTCAAAGTATCATGATGACTTGTGCAAACGACATGTTAACTTGTCAAAATATCATGATGACTTGTGCAAATGCCATGCTAACTTGTCAAAATTTCATGACGACATGTGCAAACAGTGTGTTAACTTGTCAAATCATCGTGATAACATATGCAAACAACATGCTAACTTGTCCAAGTATCATGGTGACTTGTGAAAGCGACATGTTAACTTGTCAAAATTTCATGATGACATGTGCAAACGGCATGTTAACTTATCAAAATTTCATGATGACATGTGCAAACAGCATGTTAACTTGTTGAATTATCGTGATGACATGCTCATACCTTAACAAGTTAACATGTGTTTTGCACAAGTCATCACGATTCTTTGACAAATTAACATGTTGTTTGCACAAGTCATCATGATACATTGACAAGTTAACATGCCGTTTGCACATGTCATCATGAAATTTTGACAAGTTAACATGTCGCTTTCACAAGTCACCATGATACTTGGACAAGTTAGCATGTTGTTTGCACATGTTATCACGATGATTTGACAAGTTAACACACTGTTTGCACATGTCGTCATGAAATTTTGACAAGTTAGCATGGCATTTGCACAAGTCATCATTATACTTGGACAAGTTAACATGTCGTTTGCCCAAGTAATCATGATACTTGGACAAGTTAACATGCTGTATGCACATGTCATAACGATAATTCGACAAGTAAACATGCTGTTTAAACATGTCATCATGGAATTTTGACATGTTATCATGGCATTTGCACAAGTTATCATAATTCTTTGACAAGTTAACAGTACGTTTTGTCATGTCAGTATGATACAAGATAACATGTCATTTGCACAAGTCATCACGATTCTTTGACAAGTTCACATGTTGTCTTCACAAGTCATCATGGTAATTTGACATGTTAACATGCTGTTTGCACAAGTCATTATGATACTTTGACAAGTTAACATGTTGTTTGCACATGTCATCACAATAATTCGACAAGTTAACATGTCGTTTGCACAAGTCATCATTTCATTTTGACAAGTTACCATGTGCACAAGTCATCATTATAATTTGACAAGTTAACATGTTGTTTGCACAAGTCATCACGATACTTTGACAAGTTAGCATGTTGTCTGCACATGTCATCATAATAATTTGACAAGCTAACATGCTGTTTGTACAAGTCAGCATGTTCCTTTGACAAGACATGATGTAAATTGCACATGTTAACACGCTCAAACGACAAAATAATATCATCGTATCACAAGATAACAAAAACATTGCTTAAAAAAGACAGTCAAGGCGTTCCATATTGATAGGGACTTTTTCACAAGCAAATCAGGTGAAATATTTATACAGATAATGCTCTAATCTTTTGTAACCGAGATAGCCAATGTCATAAAAAGCGTTGCCTTTGACTTGCGAGCATGCATGGATATCCCCGTTGGATTCCCGCTAAAAACATGCGTTTAACTATATCATCAACGTTTAGCGCAAAAAATAGAATTACTGCCTTAACCTGATAATGCTCGGATAGTTGAAAGATTTGGGTATGCGTGGTCGTGCGGAGATGAGGTCACTATTACAACTGACGCTGTAAGTGACGTCACAATTTACGTCATGTTGTGTATACTGTATAAGAAATCTTATAAGAAAACGTTTTTTTAACCTTCTATCAAAATTTTAATGCCCTTAAAACTAATAAAAACTTACTTAGTATAATATTAACTTACAACACACAGGATCTTGGTTACTCCAACCGGAACCGTCAGTTTGGCACGTTCTTTCCTCGAAACCGTCTAAAGTGAAACCAACTTTACACGTATATGTAGCGGTGACACCGTTTGCTACCACAGCACCGTTAGAGGGAGCGCTTGGCTGATTACAAGCTGAATGACAAAATCAAACATTGTGACGTGTAATTTAGTTTAATACCTGTTTGAATATAGCATTGATACATTACAGTACAAGGTCTATAATGTACCATTCCGTATAAAAAAACCCACAAAATTGTAAATAAGTTTTCATAATTATTAAATAATCATTGTTGATGATATACATACGGTACTTTGTAAAAGAGGACTCCGTTATAAAAAAAACTAAGCTTGCATGAAAATCAAACAAACATGAATATCAAACAGCATAGTATAAAATATGCATGTTACAAGAATTAAGCTATTTGTCTCATACAAATATAAATGAGCCGTGTCACGACAAAACCAACATAATGGGTTTGCGACCAGCATGGATCCAGACCAGCCTGCGCATCCGTGCAATCTGATCAGGATCCATGCTGTTCGCTATCAGTGTCTCCACTTGTAATAGAGTTGGTAATTTGAAATTCATTAGAACTACAAAGTGCAATGGGGCGTTCCTTACAACAGGTTGGCTGAGAGTTATCCCAGGTACCGTCTAACTGACAAGTTCTGGTTGTGTCCCCTTGCAGCGTGTATCCACTTGCACACGTATAGATAGCCGTGGTTGTTCCCCCATTCGTATTGAGCGTTACCGTGCCACTAGATGGATTGGTCAATGTTTCACATGATACTGTAAAATAATATTGCAATGTATTATGTTAAGTTCTAAAGTTAATTCATGCTGAGTAATTTGTTGACTCTTTTGCTTGAATGGCAAAGATGTGCTTCAACTACAGATATTGGTATTTTGATCATTTATTTGTGTGAAAGAATTAATTATTTACGTGAATCGGACAAGACATGTGTAACTAACATCGAATCTGTTAATGTTGTACAACAAGGAAAACCACGGTACCAAACGGGAAAATACAAGTATTTTGGAAGTTTTTAACCGGAATCAGTCGGTCACAGTCTTAATTTTTTATATAATCACGCTGAAACATCAATTTGTCAACAGCGGTTGCAAATTGATAATTTAAAAAATATTTAAGCTCGATGGTAAATGAAGACTGTTTTGAAAGTTTATTTCAACCCCTAAGAAGCCTGCTTTCTACTGGGACCTTATGAGACATGGTAACATCTTCAGTAGGAATCTAATTCAACAATACCTCGGTTAAGTGACATACACCGTAACCACTTATTCCAGCCTAAAAATATGGCAAACTATTTGATCTCACTTGATAAAATAGGTAAAGTTACATAGTTGACACACTCAGTACCACACATGAAATAACTAACTGAATAATGTGTAAAAAAACAAGATATTTAAATCTGAATTCAGCGAGCCAGTTATTATATTTACCTTGCTATGAGTCAAGAAACTACTTTAAGAGTTAATTATAATATGAGCAACACATATAAAACTGATGGTAAACAGGTCAGATTGTTATATTGTATACGTTACCACATTGAGGTTGCTGGCCGTCCCAGGTTCCGTCGTCATAGCAAGTAAGTGAAGATGATCCGGTAAGTGTATAACCAGAGGCGCATACAAAATTTATTGACGTATCTGTACCATTGGTGGATAAAGATGTTGTCTGACCGGTTACAGTTGTAAAGTCTGCACATTTAGCTGCAAATAAAGGTTGAGACTTACGGTTTACTTATCTGGCTATTCTATTTGACACCCTTTAAGTAATTCTTAAAAGAAACGTTGTATTTCAAGTAAGTTTACATTTTACCTGGTTAATTGTAAACAATAATTGGATTACAAATGTTTTTGCAGACAACAAATAGACTTGAAAGCCGACCAAGAGCATTTTCATAGTAATTTTTAAATTAAAAAAAAAATATTCACGAGAGTAAAATATACCAGCTGTGTAAATTGTCAGGTATAACCCAATATTGTTTTCTTCGACAGAATATAGATTACTATCAAAGGTGTTGACGTAAGAAGTATTAACCAGGGCAATACCAAGAAAATGAATGCAAATTTATTAATAATAGATTATTGTGAAATACAATTAATATTTTACTTACTGCAGGATGGTCCATCGCCCTCCCAAGTAGCTGAAGCTAATTGGCAGTTCCTGAAGTGTAGCCCTCGTAATGTAAATCCTTCATCACAAGTATAAGAAGCTAAAGAACCATCCGAATTCACGGACACTTGACCATTTGTCGGAGTGGGCGGAGTCTCACAACCTATGGTGATACATAAAATTTATTGTAACAACAGAAAATATGAAGCAATGGCCATGAGAAATGTCTAAAATGACACCTATCACACGCAATGATGTTTCATCAACAGTCAAATCTATTATAACGATTTCATATCTGGACCGGGCGGCCGTTGCGGGGCGGTTAATGTCGTTGACTTCAACCCACTTGCCCCTCACTCCTGGGGTTCAAATCCCGACAGGAGCTTTGGATTCTTTCATGTGAGGAAGCTATCCAGCTAGCTGTTTGAACGTCGGTGGTTCTACTCAGGTACCCGTTCATTCGTGAAAGAATGCACGGAATGCACATATAAAGCTGTAAATTGCCATACGACCTCTTCTGTGTTGGTGCGATGTTAAATCCAACAAAAAAATAAAATGAAATAAAATGAAAAAAAGGATATCAGTTACATTTCAAGAATATTTTTGTTCATTTCAAGCATGTTTAGGTCGTGAAGTATTATTTGATCTTGCTTTTCAAAGTTAATATTTGTACCAATAGAACTATTGAATTGTAAGGACATATAGAATCAAAGCACGATTTTCTCGCGATGTAAAGCAAACTGGATTTCTAGGGTATTCTAATTTTGAATATTAATAGAAATAAGTACATATCACTACTTACTGCACGAAGGGGTGGACCCTGTCCACGTGAAATCCGTCTGGCATGTCCTAGTGGGCGTGCCCCAAAGTGTGTAGTTAGCCGCGCATGTATACCCAGCCGATGTGACAGATCCCGTCGTTGATATAGACACGTTACCTTGGTCCGGGTCCGCCAGAGAGGGGCATGTTGCTGTTAGGTATATCAAAAACTAAATAACATAATGAGCGTTGTTTTTTAACATAAAACTTGAAATATTGTTGCTCACACACATTTCAAAATAGATATTTCCATCATTATTTGACAAGAAAGCAAGTAGTCAACAAATCTGTTCGCGACCAAAAATGCCACACGTCGCATCAATTTCAAAATTTAAACATAATCTAACAGACAAGTTCGAAAATAGGTGCAGTTTATAAACGTTTCTAAACTGTATAACTACTTACGACAGGTTACTGAAAAAACAAAAAACAAAATAAAAATGATAATATTATGCATATTAGAAATGAATATAAAATTATAACATAAATAAAAACAATTTGATAATTCAAAATACTTTTCTGGCTTTAAATGAATTAGATTTTAAAAGTATGATTAAAAATATTACAGTATCTAAAACATTATCTCTGCGTTATGTTTTACAAATTATTCCTTTAATACAACTTTGTAACTTTCGCATTGATCATTGTGGCCAAAATAGTTTGGGCTTTCACATTTTATCCGGATGCAGATTAATGTCAAGTACATTTACATTTATTTCTTGTGTCGTGAAAATTTGTCGTTTATAATATAATCTTGTTTTGCCCAGCCAAGACAAAAACCTGATGAAATGAAAGGCAAAACAGGACACCTAAAAGAAATTTTCCTTTCTCTATTTATCTGCCGTGTCTGCGTATTAATATGTTGGCAGACGAACAATGTTAGCAGACGAACAATATTGACAGACGAGGAGGAGACGAACAATGTTAGCAGACGAACAATGTTAGCAGATTAGATGAACAAGTCGTTAAAACAGGATTTGTCATGCCATATTTAGCACTCTCCAGGCCCTAAAAATTTAACTAACATATCATATGTAAAAGCAATACAGTTATAAATTGTAAATTTAAAAATCCTACACGAAGCAGGGGCAAATGAGAGTAAAGCTCCTATGGTTTGTCCGGATGATGTCCTTGGGAACAGTGCAGGTGTTTGATCCTTTTGGCAATATCTAGGTGAGACAGAGGCTTTTGTGACGTCACCTGAGACCGCCTGGAAAAAAGAAGCGATGGAATAATTAACTAATGATTTGCAGAACATACCAGCAAAAAGTTGTTAAGTACGAAAAACATATGGGGGACATTTCAGCTTCATGAATTTCCCGATTTTAACTTCATGAATTCACGATTTCAACTGCATGAATACACGATTTCAACTTCACGAATTTCCGGTTTCACCTTAATGAATTCTAATGCCTATCTGTAAAAACCAGTTTGATTGCATGGCTAAAAATAGCTTTCTCGGGGAAATTATAAAGAAGGCAAAACATATACGGTCGTCAACAGATCTACATAGAAAAGTAGATCTGAACTTAAGTTAGATTGATTGCCCCTTTAAATTTGTGATATAACTTTCGATATGCGAAGATATTTTTTAGATGACAAACGTTAATAAATCGGTTAGAGAAAATTCATGTATGAAAACTATACATATAATAATGTTGTTTACTATGCATGTAAATCTATAAATAGATTGGTTATCAATAAGAGAGCTGGCATCGTTGCCATTGAAGACCATGACATAGTTCGTTTCCCCTTCTACAACATTGTTAATGCACCACAATGTGTCCGACACTGAAATATTAGCACAGAAGAATATTTACATTATGGCCAAAATTAACAACAAGAAGTATTATTTGATTTCATAAGATTTTGTATGTGAGAAGTTAGCAGTTAACAGTGAGCTAAGCAAAAAGGCATTACGATTTATATAGGGAAATCAATGATCTGCTGTTATGTTCAGCTGGGTAAGCAATCTAGCAGAGCATTCCAAAATAAAGTGTAGAAATGCTTTGCTCGTATGCTCAGCTGGGTAAGCAATCTAGCAGGCCATTACTAAACAAAGTGTAAAAAATGCTCTGCTGGTATGCTCAGCTGGCTAGGGCAATCTAGCGAGGCGTTCCCAACAAATATAGCGTAAAAATGCTCTGCTGGTATGCTCAGCTGGCTAGGCAATCTAGCAGGGCATTCCTAAATATAGTGTTAAAAATACTCTGCTGTTTATACTCAGCTGGCTAAGCAATCTAGCAGGGCATTCCAAAATATAGTGTAAAAAGCTCTGCTGTTATACTCAGGACTGGCTAAGCAATCTAGCGGGGCATGCCAAAATATAGTGTAAAAATGCTCTGCTGTTATGCTCAGCTTGGCTAAGCAAATCTAGCGGGGCATTCCAAATATACGTGTAAAAAATGCTCTGCTGTTATGCTCAGCTGGCTATGCAATATCTAGCGGGGCATTCCAAAATATATTGTAAAAAGCTCTGCTGTTATGCTCAGCTGCCTAAGCAATCTAGCGGGGCATTCCAAAATATTGTGTAAAAATGCTTTGCTGTTATGCTCAGCTGGCTATGCAATCTAGCGGGACATTCCAAAATATAGTGCAAACATGATCTGCTGGTATGCACAGCTGGCTAAGCAATCTAGCGGGGCATTCCAAAATATAGTGTAAAAATGCTCTGCTGTTATGCTTAGCTGGCTAAGCAATTTAGCGGGACATTCCAAAATATAGTGTAAAAATGCTCTGCTTAATCGCTCAGCTGGCTAGGCAATCTAGAAGGGCATTCCTAAATATAGTGTTAAAAATGCTCAGCTGGCTAGGCAATCCAGCAGAGCATTCCTAAATATAGTGTAAAATGCTCTGTTGTTATGCTCAGCTGGCTAAGCAATCTAGCAGAGCGTTCCAAAATATAGTGCGAAAAATGCTCTGCTGGTATGCTCAGCTAGCTAATCAATCTAGCAGGGCATTCCTAAATATAGTGTTAAAAATGCTCAGCTGGCTAGGCAATCCAGCAAAGCATTCTGAAAATTAGTGTAAAAATGTTCTGCCGGAATGCTGAGCTGTCTAGGCAAACTAGCAGGGCATTCTTAAAAAAAGTATAAATTTCGTTGGTCTGCAACTGATTATTTGGCACTCGTAGACTTTCTGAAATATTTAATGCCAATGCAGATAATGACATTTTTGACTTCTACGGGACCCTCAAGTGTCTATTTCTTTGGTCTCCGACTGATTCTGGGACGATCGCAGACTTTCAGGAATTTTTGGTGTTAATGCAGATAATGACATTTGTGAATTTTTAGGACCTTTCTGAATCGCAGATTTTCAGAAATTTTCGGTGCCAATGGAGATAATGACATTTTTACTCCAAAAGGACCCTCCTGAGTCTATTTCGTTGGTCTGCGACTGATTCTGAGTCACTCGCAGACTTTCAGGAATTTGGTGTCAATGCAGAAAATGATATTTCTGACTTATTGGGACCTTTCTGAATCCATTTTTTTGGTCTGCGACTGATTCTGAGGCACTCACAGACTTTCAGGAATTTTTTATGTCAAGGCAGATAATGACATTTTTTACTTCTAGGGACCATCCAGGGTCCATTTTTTTGGTCTGCGACTTAATCTTGGACAGTCACAGACTTTCAGGAATTGTTGGTGCCAATAGAGATAATCACAATTTATGATATTTTTGACCATCCAGAGTATATTTCGTTGGTCTGCGACTGATTATTGGGCACTTGCAGACTTTCAGGAATTTTTGGTGCTAATGCAGATAATGACATTTTAGGGTAAAAATGCTCTGCTTATGACTAAGGGGTCCTTAAAAGTAAAAAAAGCATGATCTGCAATGGCACTAAACATCCTGAAAGTCTGCGAGTCTCAAGGAATCAGTCGCAGACCCAAGAAATGTACTCTGGCGGTTCCCTAAAAGTCAGAAATGTCATTATCTCCATTGGCATCAAAATTCCTGAAAGTCTGCAAGTGTCCCAAAATCAATCGCAGACCAGCGAAATGAACTCTGGTGGGTCGCTAGAAGTCAAAAATGTCATTATCTCCATTGGCACCAGAGATTCCTGAAAGTCTGAGAATGTCTCAGAATCAGTCGCAGACCATAAAAATGGACTCTGGCGGGTCCCTAGAAGTAAAAATTGTCATTATCTCTATTGGCACCAAACTTTCCTGAAAGTCTGCGAGTGTCCAACAATACGCTGCAGGCTAATGAAATGGACTCTTAAAGGTCCTTAGAAGTCAAAAATATGATTATTTCCATTGGCACCAACCATTCCTGAAAGTCTGCGAGTGTCCAAGAATCAGTCGCAGACGACTAAAATGGACTCTTGAGGGTCCCTAGAAGTCTTAATTGTCAATATCAGCATTGGCACCAAAATTCCTGAAAGTCTGCGAGTGTCCTTCAAAAAGTCGCAGGACAATGAAATAGTCTCTTAAAAGTCAAAAATATCATAATTTCTATTGGCACCGAAAATTCCTGAAAGTCTGCGAGTGCCTCAGAATTGCCTAGAAGTCGAAAATGTCAATAAAACTTTGGCAACAATAAATCCTGGAACTCAGAATCAGTCTGCCAACTGAGCATTCAACCAGAGCATTTTTTAACTATATTTCGGAATGCCCTGCTAGATTGCCTAGCCAGCTTAGCATTCCACCAGAGCATTTTAACACCATATTTAGTAATGCCCTGCTAGATTGCCTAGCCAGCTGAGCATTCCACCAGAGCATTTTTTCACTATATAACGGAATGCTCTGCTATAGTGCTTAGCCAGCTGAGCATTCCAGAAGAGTATTTTTACACTATATCTAGTAATGCTCTGCTAGATTGCCTAGCCAGCTGAGCATTCCACCAGAGCATTTTGCACTATATTAAGGAATGCTCTGCTATAGTGCCTAGCCAGCTGAGCATTCCTGCAGAGCATTTTAACACTTTATTTAGTTATGCTCTGCTAGATTGCCTAGCCAGCTTAGCATTCCAGCAGAGCATTTTTACACTATATTTAGGAATGTCCTGCTAGATTGCCTAGCCAGCTTAGCATTCCACCAGAGCATTTTTATACTATATTTAGGAATGTCCTGCTAGATTGCCTGGCCAGCTTAGCATTCCAGCAGAGCATATTTACACTATATTTAGTAATGCTCTGCTAGATTGCCTAGCCAGCTTAGCATTCCAGAAAAGCATTTGTTCACTATATTTAGTAATGCCCTGCTAGATTGCCTAGCCAGGTTAGCATTCCAGCAGAGCATTTTACACTATATTTAGTAATGCTCTGCTAGATTGCCTAGCCAGCTTAGCATTCCTGCAGAGCATTTTTACACTGTATTTAGTAATGTCCTGCTAGATTGCCTAGCCAGCTTAGCATTCCAGCAGAGCATTTTTACACTATATTTAGTAATGCCCTGCTAGATTGCCTAGCCAGCTTAGCATTCCAGCAGAGCATTTTTACACTATATTTAGTAATGCCCTGCTAGATTGCCTAGCCAGCTTAGCTAGCCAGCTGAGCATTCCAACAGAGCATTTTTTCACTAAAGCTAGGAATGCTCTGCTAGATTGCCAAGACAGCTGAGTATTGCAGCAGAGCATTTTTACACTATATTTAGGAATGCCCTGCTAGATGCCCAAAACAGCTGAGCATTACAGCAGATCATTGCCTTCCCTATATAAATTGAAATGCCTTTTTGCTTAGCTCACTGTTCACTGCTAACTTCTCACATACAAGATGTACGACCATGTTTCGCCGTCCCTCATTTATTTCTGGGTGTTCTATTAACGCAAAATATCATTATGGAAACAAACCGTCTACGGCCGAAAAAATATGTTTTATGTAATTTAATGGACAATGTAACGAAAAACTGGTTGTTTCAACACAATTACATAAAAACTGTAGGAAAAAGTGTTTAAAGCATAAAATTTAGGCAGACTTATTGTAATGCATTGCGTAGTGAATATAACTTTCTTGTGTTAGAACAAACGTGAGATTTCTTTCACATGCACCCGTATGACTGTCACGAAAAATATACGTTTTCACACACACACACACACACACACACACACAAAATATCCATATATCCTACCTGAATAGGCAACCTTCGTGGCACATGCGATGTAATCAAATTTCATATGCTGCGTATTTGTACACGTGCTAATTTTAGAGGAAGATTGATCACACGTTGTCACAGCATCGGAAGTAGTATGCGTATATCCATACTGACCTAAAAAGTGCCATGGACAGTGGACCTTTGCTGCAAATTCACTCCCTGAAAATAAGAAAAAATATCTCTGGACATTAACTTGAAATATATGAAAATAACGACCTTGTCTTGTCAAAAAGACAAAACTACGGGCATTGAAATTCTATGTGCTAAAATAACGTTCTTTGAAACAATTATGAATGATTGTGCAATATATTTTGCTTTATGAGTGTACAAATGTATTTTGATTATCAAATAAAACATTTTTTTGCAAGTGAAAAGTTTCTGCTTAGAAAAAACTTTTGCCAAGGGATGAATAAAATTGGTGAAATTACTCTCCCTTTAGAGATTTTCCTTGCGGAATAACTTTTCATAATAAAACGTATGTTTTAATTGGAATATTTTTTCTTGAATATTAAAGTTTAAGAAAACTTTAATCTGCGGGTTATTGTTTCTTATGGAAATATTTTTCTAAAAGAATATTTTTGTTTTACGATTGGATTTTTTCTGTTGGCACACCTTTCACCATGACCATGGGATTATTCATATTTTGTATCATGTATAAAAATTGAATTAGCATATATTGTTGTAATAGCTTTTTCTCACGGAAATTGATAAAAAAACATCATAGTTTCTATGATGCAGAATTCCAAAAATGTTTAATTTGAATTAAAGTGAATTGTTCTATATTGGAAAGTCTGTAATACGATAACAATACTTTAATTTTATATCGTTTTTGGTGGCAACTGCAGAAAAACATAATCCGATATTACATAATCATATCTATGTAACAGATAATATTTCTTTTCTACAATGAAATTGCAGTATTTAAAATAAAAATGTTTATTATGTATATCTTAAAACTTTATCAACATTTTTTCATGCAATATTTTATAGGAATATGCAGATGATACATTTCTATTGTTCGTTTCTATATTCGTTATACTTGTCATAAACCGTGTTTAATGTAGACCAATTCACTTTTAAAGTCGAAACTGCCATAATACAATTGAATCATTTCAATTTAGTAATCTTATAAAATAAACAAGAGCGATCAGTAATCACATGTGCCGCCTCATGATGGCCAATTTCATGTTGGGACAAATTTTGTGACAGCCAGACGGACAGTGCACAACTAGACTTGGTACTGATCATTCCTGTAAAGTTTGGATAAAATTGCACCAGTAGTTTATGAGGAGTAGTCCGGAAAAGCTATTGTGTATCTGGTAACACACTGAAAAAAAAACACCTTTTTAACAAAGGGCCATAACTGGGCCAAAAATCATTCAACCGGAAAACCAGTGCAATATGCGCAAGAACTTGAGCTACAGATCAATCCTGTAAAGTTTCATTGAAATTGCATAAGTGGTATAAGAGAAGTAGTCCGAACAAACTTTAAAAATAAAAATTATTAAAGGGCCATAATTCTGACAAAAATCATTGAACTGGAAAATGCTGACAATTGCACAACTAGACTTGGTTCTGATCATTCCTGTAAAGTTTGGATGAAATTGCACCAGTAGTTTATGAGGAGTAGTCCGGACAAGCTTTTGTGTATCTGGCAACACATAGAAAAAAACACCTTTTTATCAAAGGGCCATAACTCGGCCAAAAATCATTCAACCGGAAAACCAGTGCAATTTGCGCAAGGACTTGAGCTACAAATCAATCCTGTAAAGTTTCATTGAAATTGCATTAGTGGTATCAGAGAAGTAGTCCGGACAAACTTTAAAATTAAAAATTATTAAAGGGCCATAACTCTGACAAAAATCATTGAACCGGAAAATGCTGACAATATGCAAAACTAGACTTGATACTGATCATTCCTGTAAAGTTTGGATGAAATTGCACCAGTAGTTTATGAGCAGTAGTCCGGACAAGTTTTGTGACGGACGGACGGACAGACAGACAGACAGACAGACGGACAGACAGACGACGGAGAAGTGATCCCTACGGAGTAGTGGCGACACAAAAATGAAAGACGTGCTCTTTCTTTGACACATTTAACTGTATACTTAACTGTATAATTTGCAATTTTGTTTTAATGTTTGGGGCATTGATTATAAAGTTTTTACCATAGGAACTCTGGAACAGGACCGCATATTGCGGCGCATAAATCCGAATCCGTACCGGCTTTACATATTGTTTGTCCGACCTTTGAATATCTTTTCATATTATGCGAGCGGGTGGTCTTTAATTATCTAATCTCAATTAAATATAATCTGCTAATTTAAAAATCAGTCAAATATACGGTATATTGAAAAAAGAAAAGGAGTGACATCCGCCATTTGCCGCAACGTTCGGCGTAAGTTACCCCCCTTGATATGCTTGATTTTTGTTTTAATTTTCCTAGTAATGAATACGAGATGAGTGCCTAAAATATTTGTCTGTGGATCATGTTTAAATGTTCCTTTTTTCAGTTAGACAAAATCAGTTGGACCATATTACTAAAGTGTCTGTTTTCTCCTTTTTAACAAATCAATACACGAATACGCCCGTTATAATGCCGCCTATACATGGCAACACGTGTACAAACCGTTAACGTTATATCCGGACGATACCTGATAGTTGACAAAAATAACGGGAACAAAATTCTGAAAAAATAGTAATCAATTGTAGCCAAAGGGGAAAAACTCATGCCGAAAACGTTGCGGCAAATGGTGGATGTCACTCCTTGTCTTTTTTTATAATACCGTAAAATTTGACCAATTTCAAAAGAGACAGATTGGGTTCAATTGATAATATATTTTTTGAGTCCATACACTCGGATACTACTAAAAGATATTTAGATGTAGCAGAAACGTATTTAAAAACCGTTACAAGATCGAAAATATACGCCGCAATCTGCGGTCCCGTTCTCGAATTCCTATGGTTTTTAAATTACCTTCTTTTACCAGCATTTGATATTCCCCGCCGGATGCCCCAGAGTTCGAACATATTGTGTTATGGTCAGTTAAATTGTTTGCTGGGTAGATAAATGCACGTTCAAAATTTACATTATGTTGTATCTCTGTAAATTAAACAGAGATTATTTCGTAATATCAAAAATAAACCACTATATACATAACGCTATTAAACAGCTTATAGTTTTTATAATTAACATGTATATAATTAACATATTGTTGTGGCCCCTTTCGTGACAGAGTGGTCACATGGCTCTCATCAATGCGAGTTCGAAAACGTGGTTCTACTCAGGTGCTCATGGCAGAATTAATGAACATCGGTATTTTAAAGCTGAACATTTTCAATGTGTATCTTAAAAGTGCAACAACAATAATAATAATAAAATAAAAAATATAAAAAATATGTGTAATGAAAAAGTTTATTAAAAAGGATTATCTCCCAAAACAAAAAAAAGTATTCAATTAGCGAATATCGTAAGCTCAAAGCAGGGTTCGTCTAATTCTCGTTGTTCTTTGGGAGTACCCTGACTAGACGTGACTTGCGGGTGTTTGAATGAATGATAACTATTTCTAAATATAATAAATATAGAATAAAAAACAAACCATGATTGATATAGTAACTGTAGGATGACTCGGTAATCTTGGTGACAGTTATACATAAATAGGCGTAGTAATTTGTTGAAAATAAGCTAAAAGGTTGGGATGTTCTGAAAAAAAATAAAAGAATACTTTTTATGAAAGTGTACAGGTTGTATTTTGCTTTCTAATTGTTTTGTTTACAATCTAAAATAATAATATAATAAATAATATAATATATAATAATAATAATAATAATAATAATAATAATAATAATAATAATCATCATCATCATCATCATCATCATCATCATCATCATCATCATCATGAACATCACCATTAAAATCATCATTATATTCAGTATCATCATCGTTATCGTCATCATCATCATCATCATCATCATCAAACATTATCATAATGTTAAGTATCATCATCATCATCTTCTTCATCATCATAATCATCATCAACATCATAATCATCATTATCGATTTTATAAATAAAATCATATCTCAAAAGCTTGGAAGAATAGCTTCAAACAGCGTAACGACTTATAATGTAAGAGGTAATGTTTAGATTGGCCTTTAAAACATACCCGTGTATTAATACACGTATCAAAAATTCAAATAGACGTGTATACTAAATATAATGTAAGGAATTGGTTTCTTGTACGATTCTGATATTGTTAGTTGAATAAAAAAATACTTAATTAAACTGATTAACCGGAATTTTGGAATTTATTTCTACAATAATCATGATACTTACATTAAAAGAATTCGTCCGTCTGTACTGTATGTTGAGACAGAAACACAATCCCAGGAGTTAACAGTCAATGTAGATGTAGGTTGAAACGTCCATCCCTGCATTGACTTTGTGCCAAATGTGAGAATGCCTCTTGAACTGTCATGCCATTGGTTGGAATTGAATTCTGTTGGCCACGTGCAGTCGCCATTGACTATTTAAAATAACGCAATAAAATAGAATCATTTTAGGTGATTTGTCATTTTCACTGGATATATCAAATACAGTACTAGCTAGAATCGATTTGAACCATCTAGAAACCATAAAAGTATCAAAAGGTGCCAATAAGTACCTGTACCACTAGGTACTTTCTTTGAATCACTAGGTGACAACAAAGTTTCAACTAAAAAGAACGACATGTTTGCAGTCATGTGTACTAGGTTGGTGCCACTTGGTTTCCACAAGGCACAACTATGCACCACTGGGTATTATGTTTTGCCAGGAGGTTTCAAAAAGGTACAGCTGTACAAAAATGTATACTAGCTTGGTGCCACTAGGTTTCAAAAAGGTACAGCTATGCAACACTGGGCACTAGCTTATTGTCAATAGGTTTCAAAAAGGTACAGCTACGCAACATTGGGCACCAGATTTTTGTCAATAGGTTTCACAAATGTACAACTATGCAACACAGGGTACTAGCTTGGTTTCAAAAAGGTACAGCTATGGCAACACAGGGTACTAGCTTGGTTTCAAAAAGGTACAGCTATGCAACACAGGGTACTAGCTTGGTTTCAAAAAGGTACAGCTATGCAACACAGGGTACTAGCTTGGTTTCAAAAAGGTACAGCTATGCAACACCGGGTACTAGCTTGGTTTCAAAAAGGTACAGCTATGCAACACAGGGTACTAGCTTGGTTTCAAAAAGGTACAGCTATGCAACACAGGGTACTAGCTTGGTTTCAAAAAGGTACAGCTATGCAACACGTGGTACTAGCTTTGTGCAACTAGGTTTCAAAAAAGGTACAAAATTCTATGCAACACTTGGTACCAGGTTGGTACCACTAGATTTTAACTAGGATTAATTGTGCACCACCAGACACTTGCTTGCTACCATAAGGTTTCAACTAGGTCTTATAAGATTTGAACAACTAGGTACCCTCCTTGTTCAAACCTAATGCAGCACAATTAATTCAGTCTAATGATTAATGGACTTGAGTATGGGTTAACGTCTGTAAAGAACTTATTACAGCGGTTACAGAGATTCATTTCAACCGACATTTCTATTCATAATACTGCAGATCATGCACAATTTAAACATTTAAATTATCCATAGACCAAATCGATTCTGAACAAAAGTTTGTGGATAAAAACTAATTGATTTTCATACAGCTTCATGGATATCCTATAGTCTATTATTTATTAACAGGTAAAACACAAGCAAACGTCGATTTTAATTACCCGGCCTTTAAACCTGGGTTTTCTACTAAATATTATTTCAATAAACTATTTGTGTCATTAAAAAATATATGTTTTTTGAAAAGTTGTTTTCTTTGTTTTCGTTTGTGAATGGGAGAAACCGGAAAATAAAGAATTTGAATTAATACGTCGCGTTGTAAACAATACATACATACATGTATATACCGGCATATTTTGTATTATATCGCAAACAAAATGCGATTGACATTAACCTGAAATATGGTATTTTATATCTATAACAGAATTATTTTTATTGTTTAAAAATGCTCCTGTTTTATGGTAAAACTATTTAATAATATGTTTTTGCCACCAAAATAACGTGCATTCGCAGAGCATCCTTAACAAAACGTGGAAGTCAATGTTTTTTATTCGATTAGAAGTGGTCTAAGATTTTTTAAATTTAATTTTACACAAACTTATATCAAGGATTAATTTCTGATGTTTAGTCGCACTGTACCTTATAAGAGCGATTAATAGAATAAAAGAAAAACATTTTAATCTTAGTTGAGATTAATCCCAAATCCGTCTGCACTTAAAAACATAAATACATGTATATAGGTAATAAAAATATCAATATCAATATGAATACTGCATTGTTTTTGTAAGATGCAAATTATTTAAAAGTCTTTGAAATAAACGAGCAGCAAAAAACAAACAAAAAAACAACAACAAAAAACAACAACAACAACAACAGTTATAATAAAACACCAATAATGACAACAAGATAGAATAAAACAAATAGTGTACATATACCAATAAATGTATAATATGTTATATGCCTATCGTATATTGCATTCGTTTTGTAAGATTTTGAAGTTATTGAATTATTACTCATAGAAATTAATGAACAATAACAAACACAAAGAAAAGAGAAAAAATGGCACTTAAACAGTTCCACCAACGTTCCCATTATCAAAAAGTATGAACCGTATATAAAGAATCATTAAAAGAAATAAAAACCATATTAGCAGATTATGTTATATGTTATAAAAGAGTCATATGTCGTTGATAGAAATGAAAATTTGCTAACTTCATTAGACCCAACTTCAATTTAATCAAAACGTTTAAAAATGCATTGAAATATTCTATGGTAGTTGATTATAGACCGATATTTTAGACTATGTTATTGCTATTTATCTCCCCAACTTTGAAATTTCATCATTATTTGAACGATTTTCTTTTCTGCATTGGTTTCTTAAACTAGAAATTAAAATACTACAATGACATTTACATTTTTTCTGCATTTATTCATAAACTTAGACATTAAAATTCTATAATGAAAGATTATAGGATATTCTGAATATTTCAGATGTACGAAAAAGACAGAACATGAGATTTGTCGAAAATAAATGTGACGATAAATGAAAAAATAAACTAATAAAAACAAAATAAAAAAATGAATAAATAAAAAAATGCATATACATACCTTCTAATATTAAATGCTGTATAAAATTAATAATAAATAAAATCACTAAACTTAAATCCATCCTAAATTCGATTTTCTCCTATAATTGAAATTCATTGTTTAATTGTCTTGTATGAACTATTGTTTTCCATTGCTTCAAATCAAATTTTCAAACACAATTTGGATATGTTCGGACACGGCATTTATCGATTCACCCCGTCATTGTTTTAAACTGCCAGGCGTTTCATTTACGGGACGGTACGGCTAAACTTTGTATTGTTTATAAAGTGAAAATCGGTTGAAATCGAATACTCGTTTCTTTTTTTAATTCATTTATCTTAATGACTAGTTTATGAAAGGGATTAATGATTTACAATTCACCGTGTACATACAGTCTATCAGATATTTTAATCTTGGGAGTAACCTTTGATGACTAAAAATAACCGTAGTTACATAAAACATACAAATAAGATTTTTTTCTTTTGTTTTTCATTCGTATTGATTTATTGTATTTTTAAAGTCATACTTGCTTTAGATATTATGCGTGATTGATAGCGATAGGTACAAAAAAGATTATTTTAGCAAAGTATATGGCCAAACAACAACAACAACAACAACAACAACAACAGCAGCAGCAGCAGCAGCAGCAGCTATAACAACGACATGTACAGAATGCCCTCTTACTTAAATGATATTTTAAAAGACAGTATTCAGCCGCACATATTACTTTATCAATGACTGCATTCAAAGTAAGACACAATTTAAAGTAAGTATGTTGTTTGGTTCCTTGAAATAATGAATATAATCTTGGACTGGAATTTTTGAAAAGGCAGTGTAATATCTGTGTATTATGATTATCGCCTATGAAACTGAACTATTGTTAATATATATGGAATTCTCACTCCATCGCTCGCTCGCAGAAGCAACAGTTACAACAACAACAACATGAACAGAAGATACTTTTACATAAATACTTTTCAAAACAATTTTTTAGTCGTTTCAACACCTGCTCGCTCGCTCGCATTCACGCACACTGACTGACTGACTGACTGACTGACTGACTCACCAACTCACTCACTCACCAACTCACTCACTCACTCACTCACTCACTCACTCACTCACTCACTCACTCACTCACTCACTCACTCACTCACTCACTCACTCACTCACTCACTCACTCACTCACTCACTCACTCACTCACTCACTCACTCACTCACTCACTCACTCACCAACTCACCATCTCACTCACTCACTCACTCACTCACTCACTCACTCACTCACTCACTCACTCACCAACTCACCATCTCACTCACTCACTCACTCACCATCTCACCATCTCACTCACTCACTCACTCACTCATTCACTCACTCACTCACCATCTCACACAGTCACTCACTCACTCACTCACTCACTCACTCACTCACTCACTCACTCACTCACTCACTCACTCACTCACTCACTCACTCACTCACTCACTCACTCACTCACTCACTCACTCACTCACCAACTCACCATCTCACTCACTCATTCGCAGAAGCAACAACAACATGAACAGAAGACACTTTTACTTGAATACTTTCAAAACAAATTATTTAGTCGTTTAAACACTATCTTGCTTGGTCGTACGCACGCACGCGTGCACCAACTCACTCACACACCTTTCCACTCACTGACTGACTCACTCACACTGCTTAAATGATAGTTATTTTAAATCTGATAGTTCGTGGTGTGTTCTTATTTGAACTTTCAAAATTTAACGCTTGTGATTTCCATTGTCTTATTGGGGTTAAAAATAAACCATTTAACGTTTTAATATTGTGCTATTTAAAGTTTTATTTTTTTAAAGGAGATATGATATTACGATCTACGGCTTATTTACAAAACAGAATGAATTTAAAATGTTTGTTTATATTTTAATTTTGTATTGTTTTCTGGGTAACGTATATTTAGGTAGGTGGTACTATTTTGATTATCTTTTGCTGTGGTTTATTAAATAAGATTCTTTAATTGCGTGAAAACTTTATACAATTTTAACGAAGCGAGTTTGTATTGACAGAAACCTAATCATGGACGAGCATATTTTGCAATATTTGTTTACGTCGTTTTGGCGATAATCAAATGGACATGCTGTGTTTACAAAAGCAATATGTTTACGTTTTAAAAATTGTCGATATTTGATATGATATATTAAATTTTTATAGTCGATTTTCATGTTATAAAACATAAAAATGTAATCTGAAAGTTACGCCTATTTCTTTCCCCCCAAGGAAACCCTTTTTTAAAAAAGGGCCCCTTTTTGCGTTTAGGTCGCCCAAAGCTCTTTTAAGGGCCCAAAAATTGTGTCCCCAAACCCACATTGGGGTTCAAAATTTTGTGAAGAAATAAAGATCACTTTCGTCAAAAAAAAAAAAAAAATTTTTTGTGTTTGCAGGGTGACCCCAATTTTTTAGAAAAATCACATTCGTCACAGTTTAAAAATTCACAAATGTCAAAAAATTTGAGAAAAAATTTGTTTTTTTTTCAATCCCTTTTCACTGATTTCAAAAAAAGGGTCAAAAAATTTTTTAGGACTGAAATCAATTATTGGGACAAAACTACGGGACATTTTTATCCCCTCCCCCCTAAATTAAATCGGATTTGTTTGGGACTGTTTTAGCGGGGTTCGCCCGCCTGCATTCCGGGTTTTGGGTTTCCGCACTTTTCCCGGCCCTTTTTGTTTTATTTTTTTAATACATTTGTATAGGGGAATTTCATTTCCTTTTCCACGCATTTTTCGGGAATTTTCGGGATGGATATCGATGTTTGCAATTTTAGAACCTTTTTTCAAAAAACCATTTGGGAAATAAAAACCAGCAATTTCCCCCATTTCTTTTTAAAAAAAAGATTTTTTTTTTTTTCCCCCCCCCCCTTGTTTTTGTTTTATTTAAAAAAACATTTGTTTTATAGAAATGCTTTTCTGCGCTCTGGGAAAATTTAAACCCAAAAATTTAGTTTAAAATTAAAGAGGAGATGCGCATTTCAAAAAATCTCGAGGGACACAAAAGGTTTTGGTCCAAACTGGGAACGGTCCCCCTTTTTATGGGGTTTTGGGGGGGCGACTTTAGATAAACACAAAAAAAACAAACAAAAAAAGATTTTGCATATCATTTATCATTATATCCTTTCATCAGTTTTCCCGTTTGGCCTTTAAATTTACGGGAGTTATGTTTCCAAAAAATTTTATTATTCATTTATTGTTCATAAAAAAAGCTTTTAATTTAAACCCCCTATTCTTAAAAAAAAATTTCTGCAAAATAATTTAAACAAAACTATGTGGGTACTTTCAAATTTTTTAAACCAACGGGAGATGTGTTTATTACGGCATTTAAACCCAAAAGAAGACCCCTGGGTTGCTTAATATTTCAGCCCCAGTTTAAACTTAAGTATTTCTTTGTCTTCAAATTTTAAAATATATCAAATTTTTAAAATTTGGGGAAACCCAATACAAAAGGGGGCAGGGCAAGGCCTTTTTTTGCCCTTTGAGTGATAGGGGGCCCCTTTTTTGAAAATTTTATGTTTTTAAACCCGAACTTTTTCCCCCGGAGTTTTTTTCCCAAAATGTATCCTGCAATTTTTTAAAAATTTCCCCAATAAAGTATAGGGATTTTTGCCCGGCCCGGAAAAAAACTTTAATTTTAAACGAATTTGCTTGAAAGGTTTTTTTGAATAAACCTCGTTTTAATTATAGTTTTTCGCAAAGACCAATCAAAATTCTAAAAAAAGAAATTTTAAAATTTTTTCTTTAATTTATTTATTCAATTTCCCTTTCATGATTCTATTTCCCCCTTTTTCCCCTTTAAAAATTTTATTACTGGTAAAAAACTATATTGAACCCCCGCCATATTAACCCTAGATGACCCCGGTCAGTACAAAAAGAACTTTTGATATAATATAGGAAAAACGGATTTTTTCTTTTTTCTTTTAAAATTCTGTTGGGAAACCCCAAAGGGGAAATTATTTTGGTTCCCCACCCAATTTTTATCCCGAGGTTTCGGGAGTTGTTTTTGGACACGGAAAATTCTTCGTTAACGCTATTCTAGTTTAAAGCATGCATAAATTTTTTAACAAAAACCCTTAAACCAAATTTCAAAGAAAACATAAACTGATTTTCCTGGTTTTGGGCAGGGGAACTCAGCGTTGTATGTGACCCTTTTTACGTTAAATTTCCGTTTTATTTAAAGCAGCGTCCGGGCCCCCCAATGTTTTGACCTTTTTGTCCCAAAGGGAAAAAACGTATACCCAAAAGGTTTTTTAAACCCCGCGAAATGAGCGTTAGAATTCCTTGTTAAAAGCCCTTTTTTGGTTTCCTGTTAAAAACACCCCAAAAATCATGGTTATAACCCCCGGGTTTTAATGTTAGAATATATAGAGGTTTATTCAATTTTTTTCTATAAATACATTTTTTATTTTCATCAAATTTTGGGTATAAAATAAATTTTTTCTTTGAGGGGGGCAGTACCCACGAGTAAAAATATCGGTAATTTTTTTTGCCAAAAGTTTTTGAAAAAAATTCATGAAATTTTTTTAAAAAAAACCCTTGGGAAATTTTTCTTTTTATTATATACATTTTTTTCTTTCAGGAAAATTAAAATTTTTGCAAGATTTTCCCCTTAAAATTTTTGGGAGTACGGGCAAATTTTAAAAGAAAGTAGTCCTGCATGACCCCCAGTGAAAAAAAACCGGGAAAAAAAAATTTTTTCCCACTCCCATTGGAAAAAAAAATTTTTCCCATTTAAAAAAAAGGGAAAAAGGAAAAATAGGGCATTTATTTTCATAAATATTTTTTCAATATTTCTTTTTTAAAAGTAAAAATTAAAAAAAAGTTAATAAAAAACCCCTTGCATGGATTCCAAGGGAAGAAAAAAAGAAAAACTTTCACATTCCCACAATATAGCCCCCAATTTTTAATACTCCCTAATAAAAGTTCACGAATTTTCTTTGGTTTTAGAGGGGGGATTTTTAAAAAGGTTTAAATTACAGAGGCCCTGAGTGCCTTTATTGGGTTTTGGCCCACTAAAAAGCCCGAGGGCAAATTAAACCGTCTTTTTAACCTTTAATCGCATTAAGGCACCCAGCCCTGTTCTATAACCCTTTTTATTGCTTTGGGCTCATTTTATTTTTTGGTTTTTCATTATAGAATTAAAAAAATTCCCCTTTTTAAAAAACATTTTTCCCACCCAAACCAAATTTTATAATTTTTTTTTTAAAAAGCGAGGGATTTTTGACGTCTTTCTAAGGGCCCTTTTTGCCCGTCA